TCATAGGCCTAATTTAGTATTAATATAATTATTAATAATAATTTATTATTTATTAAATAAATAAGTCTACTCTACTCTTAACTCTATTACATTACTCCCAAGTCCCAGACTTACTAAAAAATTTTAAAGTATTTAAGTATTTATTTTTAAGTAAAAATGAAATCACAAACTTGAAATGAAAATTAAATTAGTCTATTGAATAGACTCTATTCTAGATCTAGAGGTTTAGTCTTTAGAGTTTATATAGACTAGATCTAGATCAAGGTGTAGTTTATACTTTATAGATCTAGATCTAGATCTAGATCTACTTCTGATTTTATTTCATGGTTGTCTTTCCATGGATTCGAATTTCGTAAAAAAAAAAAAAAACTTTTATATCGAGTCTAGATTCTATTTTTAGATAGACCTCTAAGGCGGCTCATGGTCTAGAATAATAATAATTAGGTTAATCTGGCCTAGATCTAGATATTTTCGCAAAATTTTATTAAAATTATAGACAGCTCTTAACTTGTAAGATGGTGATTATTAGTGAAGAGTATGCTACTTTACCCTGCGTGAATATCTAGATCTAGAAATTTTGTTCCTTGAATAAATTTCAATCTGTATAAGTGTAGATTCTATATAGATCTATATTTAGATTTAGATAAATCTAGATCTAGACTCCAGGAATTTCATTTATTATTAAAATTATTAATATAATTAAAATATAAGCATTATAAGGCCTAGATTCTAATTCTAATATGATCTTGACTAGAGTAATCTAGACTAGTTAAGTTTAGTTATGCTAAGAATTATTTTTTTTAAATAGGCCCTACATAGAGTCTAATAAATAAAGACTAAAGTCAAAGAAATATTTGCCTGTTTTTAGAATTTTACTGCGTAGGCCGACAAAATGACATTTTATAGGCCCTATAGATCCCATGTACGTGTTACGTAAATTATTGTTACGTCCCTTGTTTTTTTAAATATAGATCCGCCCTCGGTGTGGCCTCGATATACTGTGTAGTGTGTTTTTGTTAGTGAGTTGGCTAAGAATAACCCCTAAGAGAAGACGTGTGAGTCGAAGCTGTATTGTTATTGTGTAAATAATGAAGTATTATATAATTAAAATCAACTTGAAGGAGGTGTCCTATGATAGGAAACAATGTGCTGAATAAATTACCGTGCAATACCAGGTAAACGGAAAAAAAAGTCACAGGAAAAAAAAACACAGAAAAAAAAGTCACAGTTCTGTTTTGCTAGGAAAAAAAAGTCACAGAAAAAAAAGTCACAGTGGAAAAAAATATTTTTGGAAAAAAAGTCACAGAAATAAAGTCACAGAAAAAAAGTCACAAAAATATTTTTAGAAATATTTTTTTTATTTGTTTTAGAATTGTAAAATTTTGTATGTTTCTTGTTGTGGGTTTGTATTTTTTTATATCATAAATTATTTATAGACGTTAAAAGCATTATGGTTTATAACAATTGTAAGTAAAAATACTCTAATATAATTTACACAACAATCTCAACTTTTGTTACGTATTTAGTTAAAAACGCGGTAGAAAATTTAACTATAAAAAAAATTTAGGCACATTTTGCCGTAGGACTATTCTCTGGTCGGCCTCTCCTCAGTAGGCATTGTCCGAACATATTTTGTGTTGTTGACGTCATGCGTCAATGACAGCATTTGAACCTTGTCGGCTTTCTTTTTTGATCCTAAGTGTTGTTATGTAATGAGCGTGATAAATGTGGGCAGTAAGGTAGTTGAACTAAACATCTAAACATAACTATTGTGGCCATGAGTTGAGGGCAGCAAGTCAGACGAACTTACCATTTCACGGTAATTTAATGTTGGTATTTTAAAAAAAAAACAGGATTAAAACCGTGGACTTTGGAGCATTCTATTAAACGCTACTATCTTAAGTTTAAAATAATTACAATCTACATACTTCATACTAAATATTTTTAGATGAATTATAAACATTTCTATGCGTATACAGCCTACACACATTACATTTAATTAACCCTAAGTTAATTTGCACTCTCTGAATATTTAATACATAAAAGTATTAACAAGTATCATGCAAATATATATTTGTGACTTTTTTTCCTGTGACTTTTTTCCTGTGACTTTTTTTCTGTGTTTTTTTTTTCCTGGTGTTTGTTTTTTCCTGTGACTTTTTTTCCTACAATCGCAATACCATCTTTCCTTGTCGACTTGTGCTTTGTTATTATTAAAATAAAAGGTCATCCATAAATGACGTCACGCTTTTTTGGACGATTTTTAACCCCCCCCCCCCTCCGTTACACAAAGCCAGACCCCCCCCCTAGAATGACGTCACGCCTCAGCCTACAACCCCCCCCCCCCTCAAAATTGCTGTTGAATTTTTCTTAAACCATCGATATTTTCCAAAAATCTTGTCAGAACTCTGTCAACATAGTCATAGAGTAATTCGATCAATTCCTATTACAATTTATTAAAACCGTTTTCTAAAACGCGAAATAACGGCTAACATTGCTTTTTTTATAATGCAAAAGTGTGACGTCACATATCTACCCCCCCCCCCCCCCCCACGAGTGTGACGTCATTTATGGACGATCCCTCCCTAACTCTTGAATGTCTTGTGCAGAGTTTCTTCCAGGCATCTACCGCCCCCAACGAAATTAAATGTATATAGAATTTATATACTTTTATCAGTGTCCGCCCCCCCCCCCCCCCCCCCCCCCCCCCGGAGAAAAAAAAGTCTGGAAGAAACGCTGGTCTTGTGCTTTCCACCTCAATAGAGCACGTTAAAGCTATTTGGGTGTGTGTATGTAAGGCAAATGTAGGTGGTGTTGATTCAAGAATATTTCAATCTCACTAAAAATGTTTTTCTGATCATAAGAGTATGTCTTCTTGACTGTTTCACATGGGTGTAACCTGCCAGTGCACCCAGCAGATCAACAACATCAAGTGGAAGCAAACAGTCGTATCACCCACGCCATTAGACGCTGCGCACCTAGTGGAAGAATAGATTTGTTTTAGCACAAATTTTGCCAAATACTAGTTTTCAACCTGGCTTTTGTTTCGAATATGGCAGCACAACCTATTGTCTCGCTACTGGGTATTAAACTCATGACTTTCAGGTTGCAAGTGTGCTCTACCACATGACAATCTGTCTTTTGACTAAGGTTACTTACTTGTCTGGCATAATTCAAAACACAGAATTGAAATTATTTTTTAATAATTCAGTGTACACCACAAATGTTAAACAACAAACAGAATGTGTGTATAAATATTTAAAAAAAAAAAACGACCAGTTTGATACTTTTATTCAAAAATAAAAAATCTGGTAGACAGTTCTCTTTAACAGTTTATTCTCGTTAAATAAATCACTACCATTTTATTTTATTTTGGGAGATTTAAAGTATTCCTTTTGTCATATAACATGTAATATATTACTATTTCTTTCTATTAAATTGCTATGGCCAATGACCCTAGTGAATTCTTTATGAATGTTAATAGGGTTAAAAAATAGAAAACATGCATAATTGTGAGAAATAATAGCATTAATGCATACAAGAAAATTTATAAAACAAGACAAAATAACACATAACACATTAAACTCTTGTTTTATAAACAAAAAGAAGTGTTCAGTATTTCACAGTAAAATGTGGAGTGACTAATCTGAATCATCATCTTGTCCAAAATCAGATGGCAGTGTGCTCTTGAAGACTTGTCCTCTAGAGCCTGCCATTGAAAAGACAACTTTTTCCCTAGAGGAAGCTTTACTCTGCTGTACAGGCATGGAACTCCTGCCATCATTTCTCTCACTCTTGTGGTTGTGAGATGTGGATGGGCTCCTGACATCATTTCTCTCACCCCTGTGGCTGTGAGATGTGGATTGGCTCCTGCCATCATCTCTCTCACTCCTATGGCTGTGAGATGTGGATGGCTGTCTGTCCCTTTCAAAGGACTCTCTGCTTCCTCCTGGTGGGGACTGAACAAGACAGAAAGGAGGAGTATCTTAAAAAATGATTAGACAAAGTGGTTTTGGCTTTTTTTTTTTTGTATGTTTGTTGAGTTGTGGCATTGGTAGGTTTGTGGTTGTGTCATTGGTAGGCTTGTAGTTGTGGCATTGGTAGGTTTGGATACCTGTCAGCATGCGATGACTTACAGTGTCAGGCTCCTGTTTTATGCGTGAGCTGAGAAGTGTTTTAGCAAGATCTGAATCCAGCAACAGCTTTTGTAAAGCCCCTTTAAAATCTCCACTAGCAGCTAAAGAGCTTGACTAAGAAAAAAAAAACATCAAATGAGAGGTTTCATCTCTTTAGTATCCCATTACAGGATAAAATAATTCGGTTAATTTCACAAACATCAAGGAATTTTTAAATTTACAGGTATAAAAGTGTATATTTTAAAACTATTTATCGTAAACCATACCACTCAAACATAACTTTTAACTAAATGTCAATTTGAAACACTCAGACACTTGATCCAAACTTAAAAAAAAAAAAAAACCAACCTCATAAATTATCCTCATAATAACATTTAAGATTTACTGCTGATCCTAATGACTTTAATTTTTGGTCAAATAGTTAAGAGATCTCAACATAATTTTGTTGGCATATGTACAAGACGTTATATTTTATCATTGTACTATACATGTTATAATCAAGTGAAAGGCTACATACCATGCTCAACAGTAAGTTAGCTATTCTTTCTGCTTGTTCATCCTCATCTTGCTCAGTTAAAATATTCTAAAAATAAAAAGTTTAAAATTAACAACTGACAAAGAACACTAGATCTACCAATCTTTTAAATTATGAACCAAAGCTTCTAACCTTCATTCTTTGCACTCCTTGAGCCCTGGGGGGTGACCTCTCCTTGGGAGGTGTTCTAGACCTTCTTGCTGGTGCAATCTGTGTAGGAGGTGATCTAGACCTTGGTGGTGCCATTTGTCTCAAAGGTGATCTAGACCTCTCTGGTGCCATCTGTCTCAAAGGTGATCTAGACCTCTCTGGTGCCACTTGTCTGGGAGGTGATCTAGACCTTGCTGATGCTATTTGTCTAGGAGGTGATCTAGACCTCGGAGGTGCCATCTGTCTCAAAGGTGATCTAGACCTCTCTGGTGCCACCTGTCTGGGAGGTGATCTAGACCTTGCTGGTGCTATTTGTCTAGGAGGTGATCTAGACCTCGGAGGTGCCATCTGTCTCAAAGGTGATCTAGACCTCTCTGGTGCCACCTGTCTGGGAGGTGATCTAGACCTCTCTGGTGCCACCTGTCTGGGAGGTGATCTAGACCTTGCTGGTGCTATTTGTCTAGGAGGTGATCTAGACCTTTGTGCTGGTGTGCTTTGTTCAGGTGGTGTTTTAGACCTCGGTCTAAAACAGCTTTTTGAACTTGAGTGATGTCTTGGGGGTGATTTTGATTTCCTATTATTTTGATGACCATAATGAGGTGTTTCAGAGCTATTTCTTGATAAAGAAGGATTTTGTTTTGGGGCAGTCCTAATTATCCTTTCATTCTGTGGGATCACTGATCTACTTGGACTATTTGACCTAGGATGTTTGCTAGAGTTTCTTTCCTTGTCTTTCTGCACATAGCCCTCTGGAGTAGGACTTCTGTTTCTTTTATTACTAGAATGTTTGGACAGCTTGTCAGCTTCCTTATTTTTTAATTTCTCCTGTGCTATTTCAAGATATGTTTTAGAAAATGGTAGAGGTCTTTTTGGCCTTTTATCTACTTCTTTGGAAGGAGAAGGCGAATGCTTAGGTGATGAATATGAACTGCTCAAAAGGGCGAGACTGTCAGGTGCCATGTTTTTGCTGTGTGGGCCAAGAATATTTCGAATGTCATCTTCCCATTTATCTGCTTTTTGTGTAGAACTAGACTCTTTTACTTTGTGACCATAATCGATAACAACAGGGGCTACAGATTTTTTAACAGGAACTCGCTTGAGTGGATCTGGGTCAAGATATGGGTCTGGATTTTTTATTCGCCTGGTATGCGCTGAATCATTTAACACACGATCCAGTGGGTCACGATCTAAATACGGGTCTTTGGGAGGAAATCGATGAATCCGTTCAAAGCTAAAGAAGGGGTCTGGTGGGGGAAACCTACTGTGGAAGGGATCCTCTAAAGGCCTGGCTTCTAGATACAATCTCTCTTTAGGTGGAGGTCTAGGCTCTGGGTGTGAGCTACTGTTAAGATGAGCCCTGGATTCAGATGAAGGCTTTGGATGTCCAACATTTTTACTATCAGCAGGAAAACTAGAGATCAAACAGAAATATTAGATAATTAATTACAGTAGTAAATACATTACACATACAATTTTAAGCCCTCTTATGAAATAAAAACGGCTTCTTGATTTTTTAAGGTTAAGCTCAAATCTGCATTGACATGGTGAGAGAGAAAATAACCTACCCTGGTGCAGGTGAAAGACTCTTCTTTTCTTCTTTCTTCTTTTGTGCAATATTTATTTCTAAGAAAAAATTCAATGCTTTGTTGTTACTACAAGCATAAAAAAGAATAAAATGCACAACAAAGTTACTTGGCACAATTTTAAAAAAAAAACGGCAGATGGTGTAGACTCCACCATATAAGTATAAAAATACGACATATTTCGGTCCAAACCCACAACACATTTTGCACCTCCAACATGTTACAATTAAGCGGTGTTGTGCCGATATTGTACTAAATTAATATCTCACATGAAAGGATCTGCTGTTATACTAAAATAACTGTGCCCATTGGTCATGAAAAAGTAATTGTCTAAATAGCCCAAACAAAATGTAAGCTCTCAGCGTAATGGCTCCAGACAAATCTATGACTATTTTTTGTAGAGATGGAATCAATTTACCCCCCCCCCCCCCCCTACAGCCATTAAGAGCCTATTTCTTCAAGGCCTGTTTAAATTCATGAAGATACATATTAGTTTATATAACTTTAGTGAAGCCAGAAACAAAATTAACAAGCACTTAACATTTCAGAAGCATTTATAAAATTACAGAACTGTACCAGCACTTGTCAACAATAAGGAATAAAATTTCAAACCTTTATTGACCCAGTCTTGAAAGGATGTAGCTTGATTTTTTTCTTCACTCGATTGTCCTTCATTTAATTTTTCTTCATTTGCAATTAGGTCATCAATATCTCCAGCCTCTTCAGTTTCTTTCTTTGGCGGATGTTCAAAAATCTACAAAAATTTGTCAATTTTGAGTTATTGCAATAAGGATAAAACTATTTTAAAAAAAAAACACTACTTAAAACTTTAAAAATATTTTTGAAAATTTAAATTTAAGCTAAAAGGTTTAAAGGTAAAAATAATGAATGAACGAGATAAATTGTCACATGAAAATTGTATCCAACCTTTATGACTGGCTCACCACGACCATCCTTCTTCTCAGCATCAAAACTTAACTCATCTAAAAATGCAGTTAGTTGAGATTTTTTCCCACCAAACTTCTTAAGATGCACATACACAGAAGGCTGTTTTTCTTTCTGAAATGTCAGAAATATGTCAACATGGCATCATTTGAATTCTACAGAAACTGGGTGATGCAAAATGTACAAAAAGTATTTTAAAAAATTGTTTCTACCAAGTAATGTAGTCTGTGCTTAGTTCCAGTGACATGTGAAGCAACAATGTTGAAGTCAAACTTGACCACACAGAGATTACAGACACATATGATGCCTGTTCCACTATGATACTCAGTTATGTAAGCAAGACCTGGAAGATTTGTAAATACAGCACAACATTATGGTTTGCCAAAACATCTATTTCAAATGAGCGTAGTTAATCCAACGATTCAACAATAAGAATAAAATACCCCTCCCGCAAGATGTACTTTTAAATTGACTACATGAAAGATTTAGAAAACTTTATGGAAGGGGTGCTTATCCAAAAAAAAAAAAAAAAAAAAAAGCACCAGCATCAATTTCCCAAGAACATATGACCTTCTAAAAATTTAACATTTAAAGAATAACACTTTTCACAAATAATTATTTTAGTCACAAGCCCACATGCTCATTACCTAAAATTGGTTCCTGAAAAGTTTTCAATAGCTCTAAGGTGACAGACTTCTCTCCAGGCTTGACGGGTAATTGTACTGTTTTTTTCTTCTTGTTGGATGATGGTCGTACTAAACAAAAAAAATGCCAACAAGAGTTAGACACATTTTTATAAAACACAAAACAGAGAAAAGACATGGAGTAAAAACAAATGCGTCTTGCTAATAAGACGATTAGTTGGGTATCACAAAGCCAGACATTAGCAGGTGTCTCACAACTAGTTTAAGTACTATCAAATAATTTACTTTACTGCAATAAACAATACATATTACATGGAGCAAAATGAACATTTAAATACTAAATCTATGTATGACTTACATTAAGTTTAAATAAAAAAAAAACAATGGATTAAAAGCTAATAAGTATTTTGTTTCACAACTGCTTTTTACATGAATGGTATTATAATTTTACAGTTACTTTCCCAATCCAGGGAAACACTTATATAGCAGTTCATTGGATTTTCATACATAGTAGTTTGTATATTGAAATTGTTAAGCTTCAGTTGCTTTATTTTAAATACATACTTTTTAAATTTACCATTGTTACTGATATCTTTGGACAAACAAAATAACTAACAAAATTATTATAAATATTCAGCAAACTATATACAGTAAAATATTTATTATAATAAATATTCATGGGATCTCTTCATTTCTCTTTGTCTAACTGAAAAGTTTTAACCCAAATTAAACAAGGGTATAGATCATTTTCACACTAATTAAACATTATTCAAATCTAATCCCCACCTTCCCCAGAAGTCTTTCATCCTATGATTGTGTTGGCACTAAATGTTACTGGATGCTATTTGCTGAATTTACATAGAGAAAAGCCAACAACTAAATCTGTGTGAAGCTTTAATCTTATTTTTTTTTTTTTAATAGAATATCAAGTTTAAAGAATTTTTATTAGTATTCTTTAAATTATCTACACCTATAGGAGAATAATTTTTTATGCGTATAAAAACTATTGTAAAGTCTTTTTTGTTTCCTTTCATCTGGTTGAAAGAAGTAAAAAATCCCCAGTCGTGTTAGTCCATTAGCTGTACAACTTACTGCCTTTCTTGAATGCCTCGTATTTCTGAAAACAACAAATAAAAGAAAATGGAGTGCATTGATAATTACAGAAGATAAGTTTACTCAGGTAGAAATAATGTAATGTTGTAGTACTCAAAGTTCAAACAAAAAGTTTAATTTTCAATTTAACAAAAGACTCACAGATAAGAATACAAGAAAAAAATGAACAATTAAATAATACTGACCTGTACTACTCATTTAAAATCAAACAATGTTTCCCCAGACTGTGCGAATATTCTATTTTAAATTATTTGGACTTTTACAGCTTGTTTTTAGTGGTAGAAAAAAAACAAGCACATAAAAATCTGTAAGATAGCTCATATTTCTAAGTTGTTTGCTTTGAGTGAAGAAACTCAAAGAAAACACCCTAGCCAATAATTGTTACAGGAGAACTAATATTAGTTTCCTGATGAAATTTTCTTTTTTCAGTTCAACTTTAACTGAATTCACTAAACAAAAAAAAATTTGTCAGACATTTTTTATATACTTAATTTACCAACAAAGAGTTAGTTACAGTGCTTGCAAAAAATATAAATTTATTTACAGTCCCCTTAACTTATTTTGATTCACAATAACTTTTACTGTGATCTAATTATTCAAATTTTATGTTTAAAGCCTGTCTGTTGTAAAAAAAGAGCAACAGAGAACACAAATAACCTTTAAGATATGTTACCATTTTATAAACAAATAATGCCTGGAAAATATATTTACATTGTTAAAATTCCAGTAATTAATTTTAGGTCTATTCCCATGAGATATTTGTCTCAGCCTTGGAAGGTTGAATCTACTTGTTAACATGTGGGGTGGGGAATGTTGGGTTTTACGTGGAACTAGTGTGTTCATGAGAGAGATATAGAAGGGTTTAAATCTTCCCCTGATGAGGCACAAAATTTAGATTTACCACAGTTGTATATGAAGGTTTCCACATGATTTATTTCTATAATATTGTCATTTCCATGATTCATTTTAAAAGCCAGTTTGGATAATTGTTCAAGGTTTCGGGGTGGGTGGTGGCGGTTCCTAGAAATTTTAAACACAGAGGGGTGGTTGTTTCATCATGCTAAAACATATTTCTTTTTAAAAATGAAGTTCTTGTAAGCTTTGTTTCTAAATATACTGATACTGTCTATTTTTTAAAATGATAAATTAAAATAATCTAGATTATGATTTCATAATCTAGTTTTCAGGAGTTAATTTAGTTTATTTTGGAAAAGAATGAATCTTATCTGCTATTACAGGTTTTAAAAATAAAATAGATATTCGTTCAGGGTTCCTGTGTTATTTGAAAGTGAGACTTTAAATATTTTCCTGACACTAATGGAATAATTCCGGTCTTAATACAGAAAATAATATTAATGTTTGAGTAACTATTTTATAAACCAAAAAATCAAAACTCGTACTCTTGTTCGAAAATGTTCTCCCAAATTGCCAACATTGAACTACTTTTGACACATGTTGCAAGCAGTCTAATAAAGCTTACTTAAACGACCTCTCACAAGCAGATAATTATCCTCTCAGCAAATTCTCAGAGAAATTGCTGTTCCACTTCAGTTAAAAATATTTTTGGGGTAGACAGTCCCAAAAATAACTTGTCAGTAATAGATCTTCTGTAATAACACTTTCACATTTGTTTGTATGCATGCACACAAGTTTAAAGACTGAAAATTTCCACCAAATTTTTTGGCACAATAGGCTTTGGCAGTGTCACTTATTGTGCATCTTCAATGAAACAGACAATCACTGAGTATAAAAAATAGTACCAGTAAATATTTCAAAATAAGAGCAATGTTGTAGCTTTATGGTCAAAACGTTAAGCTAACTGATACAATCATAGTATAATTATATAACCCTTTATAGATAATGGTTTTATCAAAGAGTAAAAAGATAAAAACATTAATAAAAGGGGAAATATATACTGACTTTTTACTGGGTGCTCTTTAATAAAAAAAAATGAAAACTAGAGTCTGAAATACATTTCTCAAAATTCCATATATTTTCAGACTGTACTAGCTCTGATTTATATATTAAAGGAGCTATTACAGTAACACTAGTCTCAGTCAAAAACTGTAACATTTCATAGGTAAGAATAACTCCTGGGAGGCGGTAGGGATAAGTTCACTGAAGTGAGTAGTTTTTGACAGTAATATTAATAGAGTGGTTGATAATCGCACAAAAACAAACAGCTAATACGCCAAATATCACTACAACAGTTGCTTGATTTTTTGTATCAGTAACATTAGTAAGTGGTTACTTTCTTCTAAGAGCCAGACTAAACTTCACCAGCCTGTAACTTTCAAACTATGAGCTGTTCTCTCATTTGGTCATCAAAATAACTTTACTAAACTTAACTAATATGAAACTACTATGAGTTCTCTCATTTGGTCAACACAATAACTTGATGTTAGTTTGGTCAAGTACAACTTCAAAGGTTGATGGGAAAAAAAATCTTACTGATTTGTGACTCTTGCCATTCAGATGGTCCCTGAAATTTCCTGATGATGTAGTTTGTACTTGACACAGCTAGAGGAAGAATTTAAAAAAAAATAGAACAACTGTAGATTCACTAATTACACACCATTCTCTACCAATAGAATAGCTTAAGCAATAGTTATGCCAATTACACACCATTCTCTACTAACACAACAATGCCAATTACACAAGACACAACATTCTCTAGGCAAATTATAAGCATTCAAGAAAAATTTAGAGATGCTGATCAATGTTTACTATGAGACACTTAATGATGTCTGCTCTAAGACACTGACTGATGTTTGCCTTCAAGACACAAAAATTTGGTTACCTTACAAAAAAATTCCACCCTATCAGTACAACGACCAATTTCATGAGGTAATATATCTCTGTCGTTGACACTGTCAGCATCTATATTAGCTTGTTCAAGCATTTCTTGAGTGATCCCATTTTCTTCCAAATATTCTGGATTGCAAGTAGAAACTTGTTTTGGAGCTTGAAGGTATTTTTCATTGTCATCAACCACTGCAAATTTAAAAAGACAGTTATTAGGCCTAACTATCCAAAATGATAACTGAATTAAGCTGAAACATAAATACAAAAAAATAGTAACAATGAAAGTTAAATTCAGAAATTCTTTTCCCCTAGAGTAAGTTATTACTTGAGAAGAAATTAATATACCCTGAAAATGTGACATTGTGCGATTTACACCCCTCTAGAAACCTAAACAGAAATTTAAAAAAAAAAAAAAAAACCAACAACTTACATTTCATTGGAGCTGGTGGAGGCAAAGGGTCAGGTTTTCTGTTTTGGATAGAGGGCCCAGCAAGAGCAATTAGAGTACTCATTAAGCCTCGATTATGTCTTGATGGTAAGTTTTGTATAGATTCATCTTCTTCATTATCTTCCTCCTCCACACTTTTATCTTTTGTCTCCTCCACACTTTTATCTTTTGTCTCCTCCACACTTTTATCTTTTGTCTGCTCCACACTTTTATCTTTTGTCTCCTCTACACTTTTATCTTTTGTCTCAGTTTTTACACTTTCATTATCTTTATCTGGGTTGAGCTTTTTTGCAACTTCCTGCGCCTGGTCATAAGATTTCTGGGAAGATTTTAGTGCCGACTTTAATGGTTTGGGACTCTGTGTAGATTTTAGGGCAGACTTTAATGGCTGCGTACTTGATGCTTTTAAGGCAGACTTTCTTGGTTGTGCACTTGATGAAGAATTATGCAGATTATCTGAATATGACTGAAACAGAAAAAAAAAATTATTTTAATTAAAAATGGATAAAAATGGAATCATCAAAGTAAATGATGTGAGAATCCTGTAATTCCATTATACATTAAAAAGATTTACCTGACTGTTTACACTGTGGTGTTCTTCATACCCTGTTCAAAAAAATAATTTAAATTTAATCATTTAATTATTAGAATGAGTATCTACACTGGCTTTGATATATACAAGTTCAAAATAGATATTTAAAATTGCACTTGATCGTGGCCTAAGTTATTAATACAATGATTATGATTTCACATTTTTAAAAATGCAACATAGCAAATTATATCAAACGAATTGAGTGAATGGAATGTTTATTTACTTGAATAGGTAGTAGGGTGATTCTGTTTACTTTCGGCTAACTGTTGATCACTGGCAACACCATGCCCTCTTCTGCTATCAAAATATTCTGGTTGCTGTTTAAAACCTCGGCCTCTTCCTGATGAAAAGATATTTGTAATCAGAAATATGTATTAAACAATATCATTTTGTACTTCACACAATACGGATGAAAAGATATTTGTAAATCAGAAATATGTATTAAACAATATCATTTTGTACTTCACACAATACAGATGAAAAGATATTTGTAAATCAGAAATATGTATTAAACAATATCATTTTGTACTTCACACAATACAGATAAAGCTTTATTTTCAATTTTTTTCATTTTTGAATGGATTTAAAACAAGGGCTATTAAAGGATGATATTATAATTTTTTGCCTATGAATATTTTGATTTATTTAACATTTTATGTATGATGTGAAGGTTTCCACACTAAGATACTGTGAGCAGTTCAATGTTTCATACAAAATGTTTCATGCCATGCTTCATCTATTAAGTAATGAGATCAAGTGTAAAAACCCACCAAATCTATATCCAGCTTGCCAATTTTTGTTATATGAACCATCAGCATAGTCATACTCATACTGACTCTCATCATAAGGTGCAGATTGTTTATACCAGTGCTCATTAGTCTGGTAGAGCATTTCATTGCTCCTATAACGCTGATCGTCATAAAAGTTACCATCATCCGTAAAAGAGGAAAATGGCTGTTGATAAGATCCAATCGAATTTTGGTCACTATACGAGTTCCTACCATAAGAACTATCATATTCCAAATTACTTCCAGAGTTCATTCTTGAGGCTCCTGCGTTACTAGCCATCCTACTGGGGTTGGGTGCAGCCATCTTTGTTTCTAGTTGAATAAATGTGTTTTCCATAATTAACAAATAATGAAAAACTTTAATTTATAAAATGTTTCGCACTGAATTTTAGGCTAGATTTTTACAGACACACACACCGCAAGACACAATGCCAGTCTCACAAAAAGTCACAGTAAGGATCATACATCCTAAACACTGCAAAACACATTGCCAGTCTCACTAAAGGTCCTAGTAAAGATCATAGTGCCTACACACATTGTAAAATGCCATTCTCACTAAAAAAACAACAATAAAGATCATACTGCTTATACATACTTTTATGACACAATGCCAGTCTCACTAAACCTCACAGTACTCATCATATAGCATACACTCACTGTAAAACACAATGCTAGTCTTACTAAACCTCACAGTACTCATCATATAGCATACACTCACTGTAAAACACAATGCCAGTCTCACTAAACCTCACAGTACTCATCATATAGCATACACTCACTGTAAAACACAATGCTAGTCTTACTAAACCTCACAGTACTCATCATATAGCATACACTCACTGTAAAACACAATGCTAGTCTCACTAAACCTCACAGTACTCATCATATAGCATACACTCACTGTAAAACACAACGCTAGTCTCACTCAAGTTCACAATAAGGATCATATAGCCCACACTTCCTTATCCTGAGGTATTATTTTTTATTTTAAACCACATACTCTGCAACTAAACACATTTGCATTCTAAACGATAAATTGACTGTGAAATATGAAAATATTGATCAGCTGAATAATTAATGGAGCTATTTCATGGATTATTTCACTCAATTTGACATACTTATTGAATTGTTTAGTGCTCTTTTTTAATTCCTCAAATTTTAAGCAAAGAAAAAATGGATGAAAATTGTGCATATAAGTATAAATAGATCTGTATGCTGTATTACCTAAACTTCCCTGGACATAGCTTTCAAAATTCAACAGAGATAAAACAGCAACAAAGAACAAAAACACAAAAAGCTGGGCACAGTGCTGACCGCACAATCTCTTCATGTGCCGAGGTAAAAAAAAAAGTGCACTCTACCGTTAGGTTTGAAAAGGGAACTTTACTTTTATTACTGTGTAAATTAAACCTATTTATAAACGTAGAGTAGGCTTAATTCTAATATTTAGGCCTATTAGGAACATTAGTTCAGTAAGCTCATTAGTATCCTTCAAGTCTAGAAATGTTTTTGTTAGTAGGTCTAGGCCTAAATAAATAATTAATAAAATAGGATCTAAGCCTTATTTCAATAGCTTTATTAAGTAAACTTGCCTAGGTTGCTTTTCTCTTTTCTTTTTAGAAAAGACCCAAAATCCATAGTCTTTAAAAAACAAATTAGAGACTAGAGCCACAGGGTCAAGAAGTAGAAGATGGTAGCCAAATAATCCTACTTAGTAGACCAACCTAATTACATTATACATATATTGGCCCTATAGCATACTATTATACTATAGGCTGTGATTGACTTACAGCTCTGGTTCTACATTAAAATGTTATTTACTTATTATTACTACATAAATTAGCCTAACATTTTAATTTTAGGCTCTTACGCTTATCTGTATAAACAGATGTGCCTAATTTATGCCTACAGTAGGCTAATTAATATACTTGTTTTTAGTATAAGCTAGAGCAGTGGTTCCCAACCTTTTTCGAGTGGCGACCCCCTTTTATAAAAATTAAGTGACCCGCGACCCCCATAGAATTAAAAAGCCGAAATTAGTATGGAAATTAATAAGCACTAAAATAAGATTTTCTAGTAGACTTTCAATATGAACTACTCTTGATAACTGTTTTAATACCATGAGTAAATTGTGTTTTTAATCGAAAAGTAGTGTTCAAAATAAAATTGTATTCTCGAAAAGTCAATTAATTTTAATTTTTGGATATAAATGATTAATACTACACCAAAATTGTGTCTGAAGTTTTTCATCTTACGCGGAATCATTCTACAAATCAAAGAATTCATCTAGTAATTTATCGGGAATGCTGGCAACATCAAGGGAAGAAGAGAATGGATATCGCGTCAATGCAGATTCTTTTTTTTTTAGCTCAGAGAAATAGCGCTGCAGTTCGTTTTCAATAGATTCAAGATGCCCAGAAATTTCTTCTTTCAAAATTTTAATTAGATTCATCTACCACACTGCAGAGTTTCTTAAATTTACAATATTTCCAAGATTTATTTTCTTCGCCGATTTTGCAGAAGAGCAGAACCTCGTGATCTTTATTCAGGTCTTTGCTCAGTTCTTTGAAGGCTCCAGATTTTATATAATTTACGACTTACACTAGCAATGGAGTCTTGATGGCGATTGGTGAGGGCAGTGGTTAGGGAGCTAAATATTTTCTGCTTTCTGAAAGCCCGATTTTGACCTAAACATAGATGGTGCACCATCCGTACAAATCCTCATAGCCGTTTTAACCCATTTTAAAATAATCCAATTTAAATAAAAAACGTTGTTTTTTTTCTCCATGCTACCCTAACAAAAGAGCAACTCTTCTTTTCTATCATCTGAATAAATATAGACAAAGACCAGCAACTGCGAACACGTTCTCGCGTCTGTTGATTTATCAACTTGAAAAGCAAACAATGGTGAAAGCTTAATTTCATTAAAAATGTGTTATTTAACATCTACGGACATGTAAGAATTAACTTCACCATCTTCAACATGCAGCGTTTGATGGGATGTTCTTCTATTGTTTTTTTTTTTTTTTTGCTTGGCATTTTCTGTCGCGACTTCATGTGATGCTTGCACTAAAGCTGTGTTTCCTTGGTGAAAACTTCCTGTTCGATCAAGCCTCTGACGTTTGCATCCAGCTTTATACCGACGAAAGAACTCCATATCTTTTTTGGTGTGTTTCGAATGACTCGTGTCAAATGACGTTTTAGTTTTGAAGATTTCATAAACTCGTGACTGAGAACAACTTTGTACAGTACGATTTGCTTCTTCCAGTGATGTTAGTAAAGCCGAATTTCAAAAATTCTTCTAAATTTTTATGTTTTGTTTCAAATTACTAAGGTTTAGTATACCAGTTGGCGACCCCCCAGAAAGCCCTTCGCGACCCCTAGGGGGGTCGCGACCCCCAGGTTGGGAACCCGTGAGCTAGAGCTTTTAACTTTTGTGGCTAGATCAGCTAAGCCAAGACCTAGGAATTGATTAATGATTCTGATGAGGCCTATTTATTAACATTTTTTTGGTATTCTGTCATGTGGAAGTTTGTAATGTGAAAGAAAAGTAACTCAATTAAGTTTAGTAGGCTAATTACTTGGCAATTTGTGTGTCCGTCCCCCCCACCCCACCCAGCAAGAGGAAAAACCGTAACGCATTGCACATTTTTACATACAAGCTCAACATTCTCTTGTCAGAAAAGACATCAGGTTTTTAAAGCAAAATCTCAAGATATGATTTAGCATTACAAGAAAAAAATATCACAACTACAGAAAAGATATATTCTGCTTCTTAAAAGAATTACTGTTTAACTAAATCTTAATTTTATTGGCTGGTCCAAATAGCAGCCGAGGCTATAAGGACCCGGGTTCTAATACTGTATGTGGCTATTTGTGTTTATTATACAAGTAGGACTAAACTACTATTATATTTATATTTGACACAATATATCTTGATATACTTTAGATCTACTTGTATCTATGTATTATTTAATGAGTGACCTTTCTTTCATGTAAGGAGAATTATACTAGAATATTACTAGGTCTATAGCTTCAGCTGATTTGTACCTAACTAAAACAATAAGAATCATTAGTACTAATCATGTAGTAATAATAAGTAGATCTATCCTCTATGTCTAGATTCCTAGATCTAATTTATTATATTAAGATTATTCAGAGGCCTACTTTTATATAACAACTACTTTATATAGACCCTCGGCCTAATTACTAAATTAGTAGGGCCTATTAAGATTTAAGATTACCAAAAATATATAACTGGCTAATGAAAATTAAGTACTAAGTAGGCCTAAACTAAAAAAATCTAATTAGGGCCTACAACTACAAGTTGGCTACAAACTAACTACTAACTAGATTCTCCTAGAACTAGATCTAACTACTGTAATTACTCAACTACAAAATCAACAGCACTTAAAGTAAAGACTTAAAAAGTTAAAGTCATTTACTTTAATAAAGTGGTGGTGTAGTTAGATCTAGGAATCTAGAATAATCTCAAGATATCTAGACCGAGAGACATTAATAAAAATATTCAATTAGTAGGCCTAGGCCTATATATAATTTGGTAGGCCTAATTCTTATAATTCTATCATTTTAGGTTTGTAAAATCTGCCAAGGTTAGTAATGTGAAAGAAAGGTGACTCATTTCATTAGGTTAGGGGACCTACATTTTAGTAAATTATTTCACATTTTTAGGGGGATGTATTGTTTTAAAAGTTACAAAAATGTTTCATGTAGATTTCTAGATCCTGTTTTCAAACAATTTTATTCAAAATTTTCAGTAGCCTAATAAATAAATAAATAAAGATGAGAGATGTTTTATCCGATGCAACTGAGCTCCTTTTAAAGCAGCCATCTTCTCTTCTTCTTCGCTCGTAATTTTAGTGTTGGAAGGGATCTCCTCCAACACAATTAGAATTATCAGCCTAATTAGTAATTTAATTAGGCTAAGTGATTAATAAATATACTCTCAACTGGATATGCGCCATTGAGGCCATTGACTCCGATTTCAGCCTGCTTTTCTTTTTGGATTTGCTTCCATAGACTTTGTCCAACCAAGAACAAAAGGTAGCAGATGTTTGATTTTGGTGTTGTCTCTCCTAGAAATTAGAAGTGTGGCTGTCCCCAGCTAATGAGCCTCATCAGTAATAGATATTGTAACAATATTGTTCAAGTTTATTTTTTGTTAACTTATTTTACTAATTGTTAGAGATTCTCAGGGGAAACCACTCTTATTATAGAATAGAAGATCTACTAAAGTCTACTTGTATTCTTAAAGTTTAATTATTATTATTATTATCGAAGTGTCTACTCGGAATAAGATTTTTCGGCAAAAGATAGTTCTGCGCATGCGCAGTGACCTATGGCTAGGGTTAGAATGAGGGTTAGGGGTAGGATTAGGGATAGGGTTAGGGATAGGATTAGGGTTAGGGATAGGGATAGGATTAGGGTTGGTATTAGGGTTCTGCGGTTGTAAACACACGCATGCGCAGTACCATCGAAAACATCGCCGCTAAGTCGTAGTTTCTCTCCATTGAGCATGCGTATCGCATGCGTATCTTATTCCGACTAGAATCGGCCTATTATTATTGATAATTCATAATTAATAATTATCAATTCAATGGGTTTCCTTTCTTTCATTCCTTTCAAGTTACTATTCTAGATCTAGATAGATCTAGATTCTAGATCTAGATCTTACCAACCTCGATTGATTTTTTTTACTTTTACGGAACAAAAGTCAAAAATGTTACTAAAACGATAGATCAGATTTACGGTCTAGACATCTATAATTAATTAATAGACTATAGTAGATCTAGATAAACTATTATTATACTTCTAATTCTACTGAGTTTATAACTGAGACAAGTTATTGTCAGAATACAATAACATTAATTTCAGTCAATCCATCAATCAATAGTATTCAATAGTGTCTAAACTAGAATCTAAATGCAGTAAATACTAGAAAACTTTTTAGTGTAGAGTCCTAGGCCTATAGCCAGATTTTTCAATATTCTTAGAAGTAAATTATTTTAAATAGGATCTAGACTCTAGATGTAGTTTTAAATCTAAATCTAGGATTCTAGACTAGACTCTGGATCTAGATTAGCAGGCTAAGATTTTTTTTTAAATAATTAGGCGTAGGAAGCATAACAATTGAAGAAGATAGAAATAAAGTTGTAAAACGGCCCAGAGAAAAAAACGACCCCGGCAACACGGGCGAGTCCAAATTTTGAGTTAGGCCTAGGCCTAGGCCCTAGGGGCAGAGTTTCTTCCAGGCATCTCTTCGGGTGGGGCGAAGCCCCCCCCCCCCCCCCCGAAAATTTTTTACCGCCCCCCCGAACGAAATGAAATTTATATAATTTATATAGAAAATATATACTTTTAACAGTGTCCGCCCCCCCGAAGAAAGTTTACCGCCCCCCCGAAGATTTCAAGTGCCCCCCCCGGAGAAAAAAGTCTGGAAGAAACACTGCCTAGGGGTCATCCATTTATGACGTCCACAAATTTTTTTTTGGATTATGGAACCCCCCTCTCCCCCCCCCCCCCCCCCCCCCCATTCCCCCCGTCCACTAAAGTCCGCTTAATTCCCTTTTAAAAGTCCACACGCGTCTGCAAAAGTCATTTTTTTCTGACCCCCCACCCCGTGTGGACGTCATAAATGGATGACCCCCTATGCTAAACAGCCTTTACAAAAGGGCCGCGAAAATTTGGCTAACGACAAAAGGGTTCCCGACAGCCTAGGTTCTATATAAATTAATTTTTTTTTTCTATTTACTCCAGATGTTTAAAAATTTAAAATCGTACAATGTCTATAAAAATGAAAGTATGTTTGTGGGTTTGTCTTTTATGCATTAATACACCTTCATCCTATCGCCGTACAACTTTGGGAAATTGTTGAGAATACTTATGGAAAGGTTTCTGTAAAAAAAAAAAAAAAAAAAAAAAAAAAAAAAAAAACCTTGCAAGGACGGCGCCCGGTACGGTGCGATTTTTGTAATTGCACGGAGTTCCAGAGCGGCTATCTTAGCACTTCATTTTTAGTACCTGTTAATTAGGCGTCCGGTACACGTATAGCGGATAAGGGGTATTACTATATTCATTGGTAAAACTGCAACAACAAAAAAGTAAAAGGCTGCATACACGATGGGCAACAATAATCGTTGACTATATCGAATCAAGCGCGTCCTCCAGCGTCCCGCACGGTGCTTTTTGGCACCCCGTGCTATCCAATAAGCAATATGGCACCTACGTTCGTTTTAAAAAGAACCCTACACCATCGACTCGGTGGCACGCGACATTAGATGAAGAAACCGAGACACGGGACGTACTCAGTGCCCCTGCGGTTGTGTAATGTAGCCTCTCCTGTGTACTACACTCAATGCTTTCATACAGCCAGTTTCTTCCAGACTTTTTTCTCCGGGGGGGGGGGGGGGGCGCGGTAGACTTTCTTCGGAAGAGATGCGTGGAAAAAACACTTCATATAGCAAGCCCTGGAATTGTGGACAAATCCGTGTCCTGGCAAATATGATATTTACATTTAAATACATCAGTTTTAGAAAGCAAGGTCTTAACATATTTCGTCAGACTTTCTTCTGAGATCCCGGTTATGCGCGGCAACGGACACGCTAGTATAATATTCGTTTTTTGAAGTTGAGACCAATAATGTAAAAGGGTGCCCTGTCAAAACGGCCCCGTTAATATGACTCAGTCAAATCGACCCCCGACAAAACGACCCAGTCAAAATAGCCCCGTCAAAAGGGCCCCGATTTTTGGGTCCCATCAAATGGGCTCACGACATATTGGCTACTGACAAATGGGCTCCCGACATTTTGGCTTCCGACAAAATGACTCAGGACATATTGGCTCCAGGCAAATGACTGGCATGACCACCATTGGCATAAAAGTAACCATTTTGTCCTACCTCCAAAACCACTATAACCTCTTTTAAATGCCTGACTGAAATTATTTTTCATAAACCAACATCAATTCACAAACAAATCGAGCCCTTAACAGCTAAACTCCACCAATGCTAAAGTTTTGATTATGTTTAATTTACAACAGTAAAAGCGAGCACAGAAGTGTAAATGTATGATATACATGATGTTTAAAGGATAACCTACAAGCATACTGCAGGTAGGAATGTACAGCGTGGACCTCTCTCCCCACACACTGAGCTGGAACAGCCTATAACTGACTCATTTATGGAAGTCATAGATACTATCTATATATATAATTCTCTTCTGGGAGACGTTAGAAAACAAGCTGCAAGCGCCTCCTTGCAGTCCCCTCTCTTTCTCTCTATCACTATCATTACCACCCCCACCCCCACATGGTCTGCTGAGCTGTGTTCTAGCTAATGTTTACAAATCGTAGAACCGGGTTTAGTGACGGCTAATAGGGGCAGATAATTTAGTTTGAAACGATTTTAAACTTACAGGGGGTAACTAAGAGGAGGCTGCTTACAATGGGGGGGGGGTGCAGAGTCAGGGTTAGGGGAAGGGGGGGGGGTTAGTGTTTTAAAGCAAATATTTTCAGTGGCAGCATTGGTACTGTCGAATTCACAAATTATGAATTACTGAAAAGTAGAAAATAAAACAACTAAATAGCGGCGTATGATACGCCGCGGGTCGGCTCGTTTCTTATAATAGATAAACTATTATAAAAATAAGGCCTGCCGAACAAGAGATGCATACGTTGTATTACTTAAAAGTGTTGGATAAGCTAACTCTAAAGAATATTGATGAAGGGGTCCCACTGGCATGTGTCATATTCAATGAGACCGTTTTGCCGGGAGACTTAGTCTCTACAGAAACCGTATTGTCAGTGGTCCTTTAGTCGTAAGCCAAATTGACAGGAGCCTATTTGTCGTGAGTCAAAATGACGGGAGCCTATTTGTCGGGAGTCGTAATGACGGGGGCCGCTTTGTGGAGAAACTAAATGACGGGAGCCTATTTGCCGGGAGTCGTAATGACGGGGGCCGTTTTATCGAGAAACTAAATGACGGGAGCCTATTTGTCAGGAGCCTATTTGACGGGGTCCATTTGACGGGGCTCTTATGTCGGGGCCGATTTGTCGGGGTCGTTTTGACGGGGCCGTTTTGTCATTGGCCATTTTGATGCTGCACGATGTAAAAAGTATATATAGTTTATAAATATTTGGATAAAGTATATTTATGGGAAGAGATGTTGTTGGGGCTTATGGAGGGGACAAAATGTTAAGTTGGGAAACTGCTGATATAGACGTAAATCAGCAGTCTATAATTAACTTTAATAGGCTATTTGAAAATCCTAGAATAATAAAACGCAGCTATAACTGTTATAGTTATGGATATAGATTTATGTTAGTTCGGACAGTCTCAGGGGCTCGGCAGTCGGCATAGGTCAAGACACACACCCAGAGTTTCTTCCAGGCATATCTTCCGCCCCCCCCCCCCCCCCCGAACGAAATGGAATTTATAAAGAAAATATATACTTTTAACTGTGTCCGTGTCCCGCCCCCCCCCCCCCCGGAGAAAAAAAGTCTGGAAGAAACACTGCACACACCTGACAGATCCGATAAAACTATTATTAAGGGTTCGGTGAATGCGCATATGAAACTGGTTGTGTTCAGTACCTCCAAAAAGGTTAAGATTCAGAATTATCTACCTAGATCTAGATCTAGATCTAGATAATAGTAGATATCTAGATTAATTCAATTTTTTTGTTGTTGAGAAAATGTTTTCAGCATTTTAATATATTTTTTGACATTTAGGAAAACCTAGTATCTTTCTTTAGTAGATCTAGCAGCCTATAGGCCATAGGCCTACAGTGTAGGCTTTTTGATGAGAATTACAGAATGATTTTTTTTATTAAAAATGTATCAATAATAGCTAGAACACTAGTAAACTAAGCTAATTTAGCATATTTTAACTTTCTGTGTAAAGTCATTATTACTGAAAAAAAATTCCAAAGTCAGGTCAGTCTGTGGCAACCTCCAATGAACTTGACAGAAGGAAAAAAAACTTGACCCGTGACCTTCATTAAAACAGAATTTGCTTTTGTTTTTTTTTTAATTTTCAGTATACATGTGCTTAATCTTACCCAATAAGTGATAAAAATTTGAAAATTAATTTTAATTACTGGTGTAAAGTGACATAAACAGCTTAATAAACACGTGTTTTCTTGAGGGGGTGTGGCCCGGGTGTGGCACATCCTGACATCGCATTGTTTGTAACTTTATATTTCTGTGTTTTATGACTATATTTGTTCACAATCAGCATGCTATGCTTTTAATTTTGATAAAGGGTAAGTATACCAAGTTACAAAACCTGAAATCTAACTAATAATTCATACTTTCAGTTTAAAAAATAATGAAAACGATCATCAATGAAGAAAGCGTAAACATTCTATTTTTAGGTGTGACATAAAAAAACAGTCATAAATCTAGCCAAATGATTGGATTCTTGCGCAGCACACATTTTCCCGCGCCTCGTTTTCACTAAGCAAGATTATAATAAAATGGCATTATTGGGGGGTGATCGTTTTCCCACGCACATATCTCATTAACACGCCAAATTATTACCAGTTAATGGTAATGTGTGTAAAATTAATACTTTAAAGTTTACATCTGACATAAGCTGGTTTGCATCTGGAAGCGATATGTAAGAGTTATTTGATATAAAAGACAAGAATTCATAGAGCTACTTTCACTAAGGCGCCGCTTGCGAGACAAACAAAGGAATTAGGCCAAAAGTAGATCCGACAATTCTTAAATAACAGACTTAAATAGAAACGGATAGTTCCGATTTCTTAAATTAACGATGGCTTCGTAATCATTAGTTTTATCGCTCTACCCATTAGTGAAAGCGAAACTGGTCGCCATTTTTGGTAAGCGCATGAGCCGTGAGATGGCTTCAAAACAACAAACCCGGAAGCTGCGAATTCGAACGGCCTACCTACAGTGGCCTACACTATAAGACAAGTATAAAGTAAATCTATAACGACTAGGCATGCTGCCCAGCTTCGCTTAGGCTTTCAAAAACATTGAGAATTTGAATGCTTAATTAATTCGCCCGAGGCGTACCTAAAACGATAGATGGTAAAACCTTAGTTTAGCGTCGGTTATTATTCCGGAATCGTATAGCAAGTAAAAAACAGTAAAACAATGCCAAAGTCTGTCACACACTTCCGGAATTCACCGGAAGTACTGTAAACCATACTTTATTTGATGTCATCTTTTATTTTTATACAGAATGTTTAAAATTTGGATAGATTTATTTTTGTAATAATTTTTACATTTTGTAATCATTTTTACTATTTTTGTAATCTAGATTTTTTTTACTTGGCCTAGCATCTAGATATCTAGCTAGATCTAGTCTAGATCTAATTAATTAATGGTCGCAAATCCGCTGCAAGCCAAAAACATTAAGTGATTAAATAATGATTAAATTATTACATTTGACTTCATTAATTATATTTATTATATTAATATAGGCCTATGTTTTTTTAGCGCAATTTCCATTCTGGAGAATTGCGTTTATTAACTCGTCATTTCTGGGAATGGATGGATGAATGAATGGATGAATGAATGTATGGATGAATGTGTGTCCGGGCTTTAAGTCGTATCTCCTCCTCAACGAAGCAATATCGATGACTAGTTCCAAAAGCATTTATGTTAAGCAAGTTACGACAATGAGCATAGGCCATAAAAAATCCGGGTTTCTTTCATGTATTTCCCGGAAAAGCCAAAAAACCTCGAAAAAATTCAGTTTTTGGCCCATATCTCGGCAACCTGACAACTTAGCGACTTCAAACATGTACCAATCGACTCCTGCCATAATTTAGAACAATATTGCCGAAGAAAGTTTTCAAAAATATCCTCTCGTTCGGTCACAAATTTTTTTTTGAATTAATTAAAATTTGGACCGAATTAGTAGGCATTTTTTCCAACCACACCACACGCGTCATCACGTTCAATAGCTGCGCCATCACGTTCAATAGCTGCGCCATCACGTTCAATGGCTGCGTCATCACGTTCAGTAGCTAGGCGCGCAATGGTTTTTAGTCATGTAACTCTATTGTAAATAAAACATATAAAATACTGAAAAAAAAACAAAAAAAAAAACGCTTTAATAACTAACCAATGATTTTACTAACCCTGCTCTTCATTTACGCTTCGACAGAGCTATTTTTAGATAACATAAGGAAATTGCGCTAAAATTGTCACTAGACTTTTTAATTAACTTGTTTTTATTTTTAGATCTACTAATTTAAATCTACTATTATATTTATTCTTGTTTCCATTTGTCGATTAAACTTAAAAAATTAAAACATTAATTTACTACAATCGACTTTCAATTTATTTATATTTCAATGGTCAAATAAACCATGGTTTACCGTAACTCTAGTTACCGAAACTCAACAAACATTACCCGATAATTTCCGACGCTAAACTAAGGTTTTACCCGATAGATTACCATCGTTTTACTTAACTAAGTTTTGAAAGTTTTTACTTTTAGGTAGATCTACGTAAAATCGTCCGAGATTGTTGTAAGCATTGTAAGCAATAGCATTACTCAGTATTCAAATCATTAACAATAACATGAACATGGTAAATTAAATTGATAATCTATCGTATAGGCCTATATATAAGGCCTAATCATAATAATCGTATGTAGATCTACTAGAATTTACTAGTCTAAATCTATGTAAAATCGCCCGTGGCTAGTAATATACGAAAAAGTTACTTCATTGTCAAGGCTTTAATAAAAGTATATTGTAATATATATAATATATATATTTATATGTGTGTCAAATATTAGGCCTATAGATAAATGAATAATAAACTATAAACCTAAATCAATGGCTAAATGTATCAATATAGGCCAGAAATTAACTTTAAAACAGCAGTGTTTGCGAGCAAGATTTGCTATATTAAATATAAACAGCAGCCATTTGTAAAATAGGCCTGCTGGTCGACCAGGAAAAATCCCGCTGGGCAGCCAAGGAAAAATTTCTGGGGGCAGATGTAGTTGGCATTGGTAAAATGCAAAATAGTAATAGTGAAAATGCGAAAAGAATGTGCAAACCATCGGTTTACAAGACATTTTTTAAATTTTTGTCACACGTTATGCCTCCCCTATTGGTAGGCTGGGTGTAAATCAGAATTCCAATGTGCTCTATAATATATTAAAATGCTTTGATGCAGACTTTAAACACTTTTCAATTTGTATTGTAATAAGTAGTCGCACAACTGCATAGGTATTTATTTCAAGTGGAATCTGATGGTCTGATTTTTACTATACCCAAAAATTGTGTAGATAATAGAACAACCTTTTCTATAGTGTCAACTAGAAAATCACTTGGTTTGAAACCGCCTGAAAAAAAGCTTTTGTAATTTGTTTCTGTTGCTAGACGTGCTGACGATAGAACTTCTATATTTTGTGTTACGGACAAAAATCCCCGCAAAATACTAGCAATTTGTTACTTAATGAAAAATGTACTATATTTTTTCTCTTCTAATGCAATTTAATTTTAGAATGTATGTAGGCTAGAACTACTATATTAGTCTGAAATTTTGTGCTGCAGGTTTTCATTTACATATTTAAATGAATGTTTTTTCAATCAAAAAGTATTGTTAAATGTAGTCACTCTATAAAGCTAATCTTGCATTCATGATGGTACAAGCTTAAGTGAACTCACAATGACCTCAAGTACACTTTTTTATAATGTTGGGTTAGGGGAAAAAGTGACTCTAGCGGCAACCTAGTGATATCTTAACTTAAGTGAACTCACAGTGATCCCTTAAATGGGTTGAAATTTTTCTCCCGCTAACAAGAAAACGTGAGCGAGTGGTCAGAGCAAAAAAAAAAAAGATCGAGAGAATCCAGAATTTTACAATTTTTCTACCCAGAGCACAGGCAAAAATGGTGCAATGCTCTCACAGACATCCACCCAGATTTAAACCACAGCGGAACTTGTTTCCCCTGGAGAGCCCATCACCTTCCCCATGTATGATGAAAACCATTTCCCTGGACATCTGGGCACAGGGAGAACCTTCTCCAGGTCTAAAAGTGAAGACTAAGCGGTTATACAGATGACGTAAGGACTAAGGAAGGACAAAAGGTCGTGCCAAGCGCTATGGCCCCAATGTTCGTTTTAAACAGTGGATAGATTGGGGTGTTAAAGTCATTCACTAAACATAATCAGGCATGTTAGTCGGTACCCCGGCAGGGAGCAATTCGGCACCCTGGGTTATCCTAGAGCATTATGGCACAACCGTAAGTTTTCACTTGAGCACAGTGCCACATGACATTGGATGATTAAACAGCTCTACATCCCTGGCATCTGGACGGTCACGGAAGTATGTTCTACCTTACTATTGCGGTGAATGATTAACGTACATGATAGGCTTTCATACAGCATGCCACGGGCGTGCTGGGAGGTAGTGTAGGTAAACCTCAGCCCCGATAAATATGACCCAATTGCAAGCATTGTTTACATTTAAATAACTCAGTTTAGAAAATAAGGTCTCATATCATATAAGATTGGTAACGCATTGATGAAACTCTAATATATTTCGTCAGACTTTCTTCTTACCCCAAGTTAATATTAAAATATAAATGTATTTGTAAGACTAGTTCAAATGATTAGCACTTTGATTGATTTTACAAATTGATTTATTATGGTGCAGTTGTAATGGATCAAGAGAAAGCTAAAGTTCTATTTGAACATGGTGCTGTGTTTCTTCTTATTGACTTTCCTGAAGGCTATGAATTTGGAATAGATTATACTTCTTGGAATGTTGGTCCAAATTTCAGAGGTGTTAAAATGATTCCAGCAGGCACACATTTTATTTATTACAGGTCTGTATATAGACTTTTAGTTACATTTATGAATTATTTGCTTTTTGTGTTAAATATTGATTCTCTGATGACATTTTTTAGATTTTTATAAAGTAATACCTTGTATATTTGGTTTCAGTGCTATTAATTCTCTGGGTCAGACATCCCCCAGGTGTGGTTTCTACTACCATTTTTCACCAAAAGAAATTGTTGTTAGAAAATGGGATGCCAAGAGTGAGGGTATACTATAATTTTTTTTGTACATTAAAAAACAGAATATTTAAATTAAAGTAATTCAGTATATCTCATAAAATGAATCTTTTCCTCTTTTTAAAAGACATAATAGCTGTTACCATGTCAGAAGATGAATTACAAAGATATGAGATCAACAAGCAAGAACTTGATAAGTTTCTTGGACCATATCCTTATGACAAGTAAGATAATTTGGATGATTTTAGATACTGATGTCCGATAATAGACTCTTCCATAAAATGGGTGTGTTTGGTTGTTAGTAGTATTGTAATCTCGGCTAATTTTATGGTTAGAAATTAGGGTTAGGCATATGGTAGGACTAGGGTTGGGGTTAAGGTTAGGACAGGGTTAGCATTGACATTAGCAAGCCATGTGTGTATTTAGTTAACTACAAGTAACCTGATACCCATTTTTTAAAAAAGATTCTATTATCGGACATTGGTATAAAAATTCCCTCGATATTTAATTATGTGAGAGTGTGATAGATTTCATTTCTCAGTCTTTAGGGATTCATCCAACGTCTTAGGGTGCTTATCTCAAGTTTAGGAAAGTAAGAGCTGATTAGACATGTAACACGTCGCAAGTGTAAGTGCAGTGTTGTGGTGAGGTTTAAGAAACAATCTTATGTCAGGTCTACAAGGATACTTCCCTTTCATTGAAACTATTATTAAAGCATTACAATATATATTCATTTTAAATCTATTAAAAAAAATTCATTACTGAAAGTGAAAAAATACTTTGCAAAAAGTCAGTTCATTGTATAAATTGATTCCCAGAAAAATGTGCAAACAAAAAGATAAAATACGAGCTGACCCACGACGTAGTATATATGCTGCCATCTAGTTATTTTATTTTCTGCTTATCAGCATTTCATAATTTGTGAATTCAACACTACGCCCTCCCAGCCCCCCCCCCCCGCCCAGTGAAAGCAGCCATTTACAAAGAAAAGATCAATCATAAATTGTTACCTCCCCTGCGTTTCAAATTGTTTAATACTAAATTATCTGCCCCTAATAGCCGCCACTAACCCCGCTCTACGATTGTAAACATTCAGGGTGAACCACAGCTCACCTGACATGGGGATGAGGGTGGTGGCTAAGCTGCTTGGTGTTTTCTATGGTTTCCATAAATAGAATTATATATATCGATTATTCTAATAAAATATCATTTGGTCATTTTTCATAAAAATTAATTTGTATTTTCTACTATGTACATGCAGTAAAAAATGAGTAATTCTTTGCTAGCCATTAAATTATCAATTTAAAAAAATCCATTGTGCATTCTTCTAATCACCATTTTGATTAATGATTTACACGGTTAATAACAAGTGGACATTTTTTCAGGTACAAACAGTGGATATCATTAACTAATCATATAAGTCAAGACATCATCCAACTTCTAGAACCAGACTCAAAAACAATTTACTCATGTGATCAGTTTGAGTCTGAAACTAGCACAACTCAATCCAGGCTCGCAGCTGATGCACTAGCACTAGAGCAAATGGAGATTTCCACACCGGTCAAGACCAGCAAACTTCCTAAACTAATAAACGTCAAAGGGACAAAAGTTAAATATGTAGCCCTACCCAAGCAGAGGTACCCTCATGGGTCAACACCAGCTGAAATCACTAAATTCAGCCTAGATTCCTCTTACATTTTGGAGCTTCTTTTAGCTGAGAGATTCAATTCAAACATCAACAATTTATTAGGTGAAGTTCAGTTTGCTTTCATATGTTTTATAATAGGACAAAATTATGACTCATTTGAGCAGTGGAAAAAGCTGGTACATTTACTGTGCACTAGCAGTGACGCCATTGTAAAATATCCTGATGGGTATTTGTCATTTATCACTATGATTTATTTCCAAATTCGTGAGATACCATCTGATTTTTTTGTTGATATCGTCACCAGTAACAATTTTCTTACATCAACACTGCATGAATTTTTTCAAAATTTACTCAGTGAGAGTGTAAATGCATCGCTTAAGACCAAAGGTTTGAAATTCCAAAAGCATCTGACTGAACGATTTCACTGGGATTTTTCTTCTGAGCCAGATGAATATGCTCCTGTGGTTTTTGATTCTTAATGGAAATAAAACAATGGGACAGCACAAACTTCATAGCATTGTTTAATTTCTTTTTTCAGCATGTTACAATTTTCAGATAAATTCACTGAGAATTAAGTAAGATTTAACCAGCCATAAAATCAAACTGTTAAAAGTATACTAAAAAGACATTATGTAGGGCTTTTGTTAAGGTAATTTAAACCTGGGGTGCTATATATTACAAATGTATATTTATGAAGGCAGCAGCTCATCCATTTGAACTTTCTAATTAAATTTTTTAAATTATATATATTAAGCATGGCTGTGTTCAAACATTACCAGTGCCATCACAGATACTGTCTTCAATTTGTAGACGATTAAATAAAATTAGGAGAAATCAACTGAATTATTTTAAACATGTTCGCCTTGATACTGCGTTGAATAATTTAACAAGCTTTCTCAAATACAGAAAAGATATTTTAATAATTTGTATTTCAGATATTATTTAACAAGATGACCCTTCAGTTACAAACTAAAAATATAAACATGCACTTTTATTCACAAAACAATAAAGATACATTTTCTAACTAAAGCCAGAGCCAGTAGGTATGTATGGATACATTTACTTTCACGAACAAAGTAATTTGTGAAGGACATGAGTATAGATTAAACAGCACTAATAGTTTTCAACAGTTGTTAGCTTTTTATCAATTTAAATAACTTTTAATTGTTTAATAAAAGGAAACTGATATAAAATAAAATGTACATATAAAAATGCAGTTTCAAAATACAGCTGTGTACTTCACTATTTAAACTTGCACTGCTAAGACAAATGATTGACATTTATTTAAAAGCAAAAAAGCGACTAATTGTCCACTGTCTGGACATAAAAACCACGATTGAGGATTGTAGAAGGGAAAAAAGTAGTTTATTTTTAAACAGATCAAATCTTCCAGACTAGATCTTAAGGCAGATGAAGTCGAGTTTGTGTTTGATAGTCATCTTATTATTTTGCTTTAGTAGATTGGTATTTATTTCAATCTGACAACATAGTACTTAACAGATGTACACTGTCAATTCTGTCATGAATAGCTTTAAAACCCATTTCACCAACAGCATATCATTAGATCCCTACAACAGAAGCATTAATTGTACATCAAATAAGCTGTTGTAATAAACAATATATAAGTCCATTGCTTAAATAAATCAAGATAATCACTGCAGATAGTTTATTGTGCACACAAAAATTCAGGAATGAGTGTACCTAACAAAAAAGTAGTACTAGAATGAACGCATGTAGAATATTTTTTTGTAATTATTTGCACACAGCATCTCGTATGGAATTTATATATTCTGCTAAAACAAAAACAACTCTGGGATATGTGGTGGTGTTTGTCAAGTTTGGTGTTGAGGTGGTGTTTGCTGAGGTAATGTTTGGTGTGGTGGTGTTTTTCTAGGGTGGAGGTGTGAAATGGTGTATCTACTGCAGTGCTGTTTCTCAAGTGTTTTTGTCTGGAGACTGCATGAGAATCACTTGATAAAACACAATTTTGGCTATCTACTATAACAAAGGATTAGGGTTGAGAAGTCAACTCACAAAACACAAAATAAATATAATACTGAAGTAAAAACTGGATACACAAATAGGTTTAAAATGTCAAAATATTACAATTCAATATTTTACTACTGTATTTTTTATATGCCCTTTCTTAGAATCATTACTAAAGCTTTTATCTGAATAACTTTACATAATATTTTTTTACTTGATTTTTTTTTTATAGTAAAAAAAGAAGGAATTGTTAAATAATTTTACATAGTTACAATATCAACAGTATGCAGTCATGGTAATTGATATAATTAATGGCAGTGTACGATATATAAAAAAAGTATTAAATGCATTTGATATGTATTAGCTAAAAAAGCTTATTTATTGGGTTTCTCAAACCAAAAATTACCAGAAGTAAGTTTGAAAACTAAATTTGAAAAGAATCTTCCCTAGTTTATGCTTAAAAATATTTAAATATTTACTGACGTAATTTCAGACCATGCCTTCATGTGTAAAATATAATCTCGGGTATTTGCCCGTCTTCCACTGAAGTACCATTATTGTTTCCAGCGGCATAAGTGAACTGAAAAGTCACCTTTCCACTAGAAACAGATTCATGAGTTACTTTTCTTAATCCTTTTGAACCATAGTACGAATCTGGGCCCTGAAAAGAAGGAGTTTAGCTTAGTTGTAAAAGTATTTAGAATTTTTTTTTTGCTACTCAGCAGGCTGTTTTTGTTTCTCTCTTATAATTATTCAATTAACGATGGTTTGGGTAGCTGTGACTCATTTTTTATTTTTCGGTCAGTCTTAAGCCATTTTAAATACAAATTTCAAAAATAAAAATGAGACCTAGTAAGGTTAGTTTTATTGTTCTCCCTACTACTACTATAGACTGCCGGGATGCCTGGGGAGATGCCAAATACACATTCAAACATTGTATTGACTACTTAAAAATACTAAAACAGAAGTTGAGATTAAACTAGAAAACAACGAAATTGGTTACCTTTAACGTAGCACAAGCTATATAGCTGGTGTTAGGGAGAATTTCAACAGGTTCTTTGAACATAACTCTAAAAGTGGAGGTCGTTCCATCACATTGAAAAGTCGGATCATTTGATCCCATTACTTTGGTTGAGTCCATATGAATGATCTAAGGAGAGAGAGAAAAATTGGAGCTGTAATTCATATTTAATTAAATTGTAACATTCATGCATTACCCTTGATAACATTTTAAGAAGTTGAGAATGTAAAAACAAAAAAAGTAAACAACATTGTTAATAATAAGCAAATAATGTCATATGGCTATGAGTAACATTAATATAAATAATGAATAAAACTTTAGTTTTAGTACATTCTGATTATAAACCTCGAGGAAATAGTTTCCCCAACTCTTGTCAGAGTATTGTGTTCTCTTGTTAAAATAAAAAAAAAAAACTAATTTATTACCTGTATATTCACAGCATATTCAGTGGGACCATGAATACTACCATAGAGACCAAAGCCAACAACAAATATTCTCCGATTAACCATAAACCTAAAACAGAGATTAACCATAAATCTATAAAAGATTTTAATTATAAACCTAGATTAACTAAACACAGTTAAAAATGGAACAGAAATTACATAAAAAATTATAAATAAACATTGTTTTTGTTAATCTTCTGATTTTTCTCATGAGTTGATTGTTAGTTTTTAATTAATTCAGACTACACAAGATTGGAGTAGCGTATATTTTTATGTAACTGCAATGAATATTTTAAAAATGTGTTGTTTTCACTGTTTTGTCATGTAATCTGTATAATTTAAACTAGTAACTCAGAAAAAGTGAAGAGTAAAAAGCCACCTTATCCTATCGCTTGTCCCGCTGTATCCCCATCGACTTTCTATCTGACAAAATCTGGAAACAACCTGTTCCTTGCCCGTCAAGCAACACCTAGGCACATCAAGGAAACTAATGCTAGGTTTTGGGTTTACTGTGAAGTACAGGAACAGCTCCACCACCTCTCTGTCTTCCAATATCCCACTCTGTGCTGATCCCATGGCAAATTCTTCAACTGTCATAAGAGGAAACCGAATAAGGCGGAGGGCTCTCGAAAGGACATGGCGCTGAAAACGAAGAGTAAAATTATTCTCTAAATATATTTATTAGAGCTGAAAAAAGGCCTACTAGGTTATTGAAATGAACTTAAAGTTAAGTAAGTTATTAAATTAAAAGTTTATATAAATCTTAATGATAAAGTTGTCAATCTTGATGGAACAAAATGGTTGAGTGGTTGAATGCATCAGCATGATTGTTAACCCAAAAGTTAGCAGGAAGTCCCTGAGTTTACCCAGCTCAGATAAATACCTTACTTAAGATAGAAACAACAAAGGTGGCTGAATATAATGCTGACCACACATGATGAGGGTAAAAAAAAACAGAACTCTGCTTAATCTGCTTAAAATTGAAAAATAGCCTTTAAGATAAAATAAAGGAGTTACATATAAAGTGAAATGTGTTGACTTTGTGTTCATAGTCCTAAAAGACAATGGGTGTGAAGGGGAACTAAGCAAAATAATTTAAACGGCTTGAAAAATCCTGCCATTTATAGTTACCTGGTTTTCACTGGTAGGGGGAATTAAGTTCTGTCTTATACATTCAGCCTCTGCCCACCTACAAACAGCAGAGAAGAGTTTACATTCCCTGATCCCCAGGGTGTCCCTTTCTAAAACAACGCACAGTGTATCCAAATCAATGTCTGTGAAACCATCCGCTGCCAGAGCTTCTGTTGTGTTTTTGTCTATTGTCTCTAGGCACAGAGCAGCTAACTGCGGCTCATCAAACAGACGTGCCTGGGTTAGTAACATAAATGCATTATCAGGGCTCAAATTACGCTTCAAGAATTCCACACAAGCTCGCTCAAGAGCAGGGACAGCGTATTTCTTGGCAGTGTACAGGGTGGTCATGACCGTCTCAGGGCCAATTTGTACTTCGTCAGTGTACAAGAAGCGCAGCAGTGCTGAGAAGGCAGCAGGCTCCACATCTGGAATCTCTATTATGCTATCAGTAGATGCCAAGCGACCATTGAAAAGGGCATCAAAGACAGCACTACCAATGGATAAGATAAACTTATGAGCAGATATGATCTGGTGGGCTGGAGGCTTCCCTACCTGTAAAAAATTTAATGATGATGTATTGCATGTTAATTGTAATATTAAATGACTAACTCAATTAGATTTAAGAAAGTCAATGTATCTATTGACACATTTCTATCTTTATATGTGTGTGTGTGTGTGTGCACACGCATATATAAATAAGTTTTGAAATGAAAAACAACAGACTTGTGATGAATAACATGAAAATAATTGTCTCTGTCATCGAATTAAAGATAACTTGAAACAGGCAATCAGTTAACATACCTTGAATTGTATATCTGTCATAGTATCTGTATTATACAGATATGCAAGACGTTCCTTAACACTAGTCTTACTGGCTTGCCAGTTATAGATCACCTGGCCCTGATTTTGTGGAGGTGATGAGCCTACAGGTGAAGGAGGGGGAAAGAAAATGTGTCCACTAGCAAATAAGTCTGCATCAAAGCCACCATTAGCAGTTTTACCAGCATTGGCACTGCAGGAGCTGGTCAGGGTTCCAAAGTTCCCCAGACTTGGGCCGCTGCAAGTTAAAGACGGAAAATTTGAAAGAAAATCACCTCCAGTAGAAGAGACCATATTCTCTCGTTTGCTGTTGTGAAGATGAAAGGGAGCTGATGATGCTAGTGTCCCGGTGCTGGAGGCTTTTACAACAGCATTGACTGGTGAGGTAGCTGATCCCGCGCCATTAGCTGTCCCAATTCCACTCAGGGAGTGTCTGTGGTCTCGCTGGGTTACAATGGGTTGGGGGGATGTTAGGATTTCTCCAGATGTTAAAATAGCTCTTTGGTTAAAATCTTGCAACGGTGAACTTGGTTGAGAGTTGTCACTTGAACCACTTTGTGGAGAAGATGAATGGTTTGTTGGCTGATGATTAGACGTTTGGTTTGATTTCTGGTTAGAGCACTGCTTGTTTTTTGCTTGACCTTCCTTTCTACTTTTGTCTCCATCCATTGTTGTCTGTAGTATAGCAATAATTCATAAAAATGAATTACATTAGAAAAAATGGTAGTGTCTTAGCTAATAGCTAGTTAATAGGAATAGGTAATCGGTAATAGCTATAGCTAAAGTTTACTAGCTCTAATTAGTTTAGTAATTAATAATTATAATTAATACTAATTAGGCCTATAAGGCTAAGGCCTATATGCCGCATTTGGGTCAGGGGCCTACTACTAACTACAACTAGTCTAGTTACTAGATCTAGATCAAGATGTTTAGTTGATCTAGATTCTAATTCTAGTAAGTAGATTCTAGTAGAGCCTACTACTAAAAAGTACTTAAATTTCAAAGTCTAAAAGTCACTAAAAGACTAACTAAAAGTAACTAAGTTTGAGTAAGTAAAAGACGAAAAGTAGTCCTGGTAATTTTTAACTTAAACTTTTTAAAACTTAAATCTAAAATTAATTAAATTCACTAGGCCTAGGCCTATAAAATAATAACTACAGACAGTGACTATGGCGAACGCAGTCCTTCATCTGTTGTTTGATCTAGATAATTTAACGAGTAATTTTAAAATAAAATAAAATGTATCGTACCTGTTTCTTAGATCTAGATTATAACTCTACACCAGACTCCATATTTGTTGCATCAATGAAAAATAAAATCACAAAAATTGGGTCATATTGTGTTTTTAAGTACTAGATCTAATATGGTAATCGATTTTTGCATTTATAAGAAAACTGGCCACACTGGGTTTTAGAAAAAAAAATACATGAATAAAAGTTATGGGCCTACTAGTTAAAAAATATTTAGGCCTAAATTGAATACAATAAATTATGAATGAGATTATAAGACATGTTATTATAGTATATTATGTGTAGGCCTATTAAGTATACTTTTCAAAAGCGTGAATGTTGCAATTTAATTCAAATATAAATCGAAATTGAAAATAGTAATCAAAGAAAATGTAAGCCTATATTGAAATTGAACATACATAGTATGTTCAATTTCACAAATTCTTAAAATTAAAGTATTATGTGCCGTTGCTTGGCTGATGTCGAAAGGATTTGCCTTAATATTTCCTAAATCTACATAATGATAAAGTAAGTAGGCAGTAATTGGTCATTGGGGCGGGAAGGAGTCCACATATATAGTATGTATAGTCTATAGATCTAGATCTATTCAGTGGCGGAACTAGAACAAATGGGAAACCCCGCAAAAAAAAAAATTCTGGGCCCCCTCCTATATATATATATATATATATATATATATATATATATATATATATATATATATATATATATATATATATATATATATATATATATATATATATATATATATATATATATATATATATATATATACAAACCAGTGGCGTAGCCAGGATCGTCTCAATTTTTGCCCGGGGACAAACTTTCGATTTGCACCCCTTCCTCAAACTTTCAATTTGCACCCCCTCAAACTTTCGATTTGCACCCCCTCAAACTTTCGATTTGCACCCCCCTCATACTTTTTATATATATACCGAGGGGTCTATGGGGGGTATGACCCCCTACCCCCTGCCTACGCCACTGATACAAACACAGAAAACACAGAACACAAACATTGGATACTCATTTCTGGCCTGATAGGGTTTTAAAAAAAAATGTATTTTTTTTCAATTTACACAAATTACAACATGTCATTTGTGTGAGTGCATTAGTCTGTTTTTTTTTAAATTTTATTCCCTTAGATTTGGAATTAGGTTTTAACCGGTAAAAAAAAAGTATAAAACGTAAAAGCTTTGTATGTGTAATGGTTTCTCGTGTTATGTTTATTTTTGTTTTTTTGTATTTATATTATTTGTTTTAAATGTATTTCTTTTTATGCTATGTCAGCCTTTAGATTTGTAGATTTTTTAAAAAAATAATTAAGAGAAGTAATTGCTTTTTAATTTGTTTAGTAAAAATATATTAAAAGGAGCTTATGAGCACCCCTATTTAACTATTTAAAAAAGGGAAATAAATCATGGAAGTGTTTTGAACGTTTGCCTATCTTTCACACTACAGCTCTGGCATATATATATATATATATATATATATATATATATATATATATATATATATATATATATATATATATATATATATTACGCAACAGCATGTGTTAGCTACTGTATAACATCACAACTGTAGTAGATCTGTTTGTTATTTACAAAAGCTTTTACCGTCAAGTCAAAAACAATTATTATGGCATGGTCAGCTATGGGCACCTAAATGGCGTGCCCCCCCCCCAGTAGCGTACGCAGGGGGGGAGCAGGGAAAGCGGCCGCTCCCCCTCTGGCCATTTTCAGCAAAGTGGCGCCTTTTTGGAAACTTTTTAAACTCAAAGTTTTAAACGCTATTTGTTAAAAAAATATTTTTGGTCGGCACAACTATGTAAATCACAAGATTTCTTTTCATGCAGCAATTATGCATTATTGTACTAGTCTAGTAGTGTCTACGTTTACAACACGTATTAACAACTGCATCAGTTTGCCATTCTAAAAATAACCATTACGATGCATTGCAATGTTTAAAAAACCTCTATGGTAGTACCACTTGGCAAGAGGGGTGTTAAGTTTAAGGCAACTGTATAATGTATTTGCTTACGAATAATTGCATTAGAAAATGTTATACATAAAACTTCACACATAATTACTTTATTTATACAGTTTGAATCGTGTAATTAATTTTAAAAAAAATTACAATACAGAAACAAATACAACTGATGTGGCACCTCTATTTAAATTTACTGATGAGCAAACTGCGTAGTGGTTGGGAAATTTTGACAAGGTCAACAAAGTCATCACGATGAAGTAGTAGTATTCTTACAGTTTGGGCGATAGTGATACGATTACAAATTATATGAAACAGTTACAACCCCCCTCCCCCATGGACCCCTCTGTAAAAATATTTTTGTCATAATACCACTGCTACTTATTTAAATCTATTTCAGTAATATATATTTGAGTAATATATATTTGTGTAATATATAAGTATGTTTAGAACAGTCATCTAAAAACTGACGCTATGTTCACTTTAAGTTGGTTATCTCCCCCCCCCCACACACACCCCACCATTAATGTCACACCTAGGAATACACTGGGTTGGATAATTGACTTAAGTGTACGGGCAGTGGTGAACAAAGTTGAACCCCCCCCCCCCAACCCACCCGAACTGATCTGTTAAGTACATGTAGAAAAACGCGTAATGATATACCAAAGTACAATGCCGCAAGTATATTAGCTATTTAAACGTAAAACTCCTTGAATATTGTTTTTCAATTACCAGTAAAAAGGTGTGTGATCAAAACCCATACCTATCACTATGTTAAAAAATGATCTTTAAAGAACACAAAGAAGCAGTAGTTAATTAAAATATATGATCTGAACTAAAAGACCGATGTTTCGTTAAATGTAGGCTGTTATTCCAAATGTTGTGCTAGTAGAGCGAAAAGCATGGTTTTATACCAACTCTGATTTTAAAAACTTTCATTATGCTGTAATACTTTAGCATTTATGATGACGATATATTAAATTCTGATTATAGACAAAAACATTTTGTAAATACGAATAGTGTTAAACAATTTCATTATATTCTAAAGTAATTATTTATTTGTATTGACATTTATAATTAAATGTGTAGATATATACATATTTATATTAAGAGAGTGATTATTTCCCCTATTTCACTTGTCTTAAAAAATTTCCCAGGAATAATTATGTAAGAAATTTTTTTACAAGAATTACAAAAAAGATTGTGTTACGTTCTAGTAATTATATATATATATATATATATATATATATATATATATATATATATATATATATATATATATATATATATATATATATATATATATATATATATAATATATATATATATATATATAATACACGTATAAATAACGTGTTAATAATTCGGCGCCTTTTTTTGCTCTTTTCGCTCGCTCCCCCTACAACAAAAACCTGGATACGCCTCTGCCCCCCCCCCCCGCATTGCTGGGTCTGGCAGCACTGTAGTTCCGCCCCTGGATCTATTCCATAATGATGCCGAGAGTGTAATAATACTGTAGGTAGGTCTAGACTACTTATTTATTACATTCAGAATTTGAAAAGTAGAAAGGAGCAATTAAGCTAAGCATCAAGTAGTCAAGTAGTCACTATTTTTAACTAAGCTTTAACTAAATTTCATTTAGGGTCAACGGAGATTAACTCATTTGAAATGGGTTTATTCTAAAAAAAGAAGTAATGCTTATCGTGATGGGCAAGAATAGTAATAGGCAAGGGCCTTAATATTTCATCCTTTATTTAATCAGTAAAAAAAATAATTTCACCGTTCTATCACGGCAAATAGATCTAGATCTAGTGGTATCGATGCGCAATTTAAAAACATACAAGCATCCAACTACATCTTCTCTATAAATAGAATTACAGAACTGAAACAAAACAAAAATAGCAACCACAATAACAACACTAACTGCCAAAATTCTAATTCATGCAAAGCAATAGATCTAAATCTATTTTCGTGTAACGCAGACGAAAACTTATTGTTAAAGATAAAAGCAGCTGCAGGTGTACATTCTTTAAATAATTATACAGTTTATAATGTAACATTATTGATAAAATTAATTCTAGATCTATTTTTTAAAAGATTTTGATTCTAGACTTCTAGATCTAGATCTAGATCTAGATCTAGATTCTAGATCTAGATCTAGACATTTTGACATTAGTTGAATAAGTTGAGTCTTGACACTTGACACTGAGACTCAAACTCAAGATGACTAAGATTAGGTCTAGAACTAGATCTAGACCTAGATTCTAGGTAGATCTATGTCTAATCTAGATCTGTCTTTAAGTTTTAACATCAAGCAGATAAAGTAGAATTCATATTTCTACATTTTGACTTGAAGGAAGGGATGGTGTGGTCAGCACCCTGGTGGACTCAAAGATATTCTGCAGAATCAACATTTTCTTGTTAGCAGATGAGCACTCCACTACTTGACTACTAGATTTTCTAAGTACACTGTCCCTTGCCTCAAAATAGTAATAATCTACTAATATTCTAATTAATTGAAATAGTTTGTTAACTAAAAGATCTAGATTTAGAATAATTTAGATTCTAGACCTGCCCTGGTTTAATTAAAAAATATTGAAATAAATCTATGATGGGACTGTGTGGTTGAATGGTAGAGCGTTCAACTGCTAACCTGAGTGAAGTTCAGATAATTGGCTAGAGTTGTAACACATCCCTGAGTCCACCCAACTCTAATGGGTGCCTGACTTGCATGGAAAATAAAGGTGACAATACTATCTCATCAAATGCCGTCATAGAATCAGTTGAATTTAGGCCCCTGCTCCATCCTGCTCCATGGGCTGATATGATATGTTTGAAAGGGAATGTTACTACTACATCTGTACATAACTCTTTGGTCTATTATATTTGTAATATAAAATTAAATATTATTTTTTATAAGATGCCTTAATTCATTAAATGTTGCAAGGTGAATGATAATTATTTAAATAAAAAAAATTCTATCCTATATGCTTATTTTTATAATTTTTTTATGCAGTCCTAAACTAATTGATAGATACGTAGATTTAATTTGTATTTTTAAAATAATATGTAGGACCATAAAGTCCATACATATTGGCCCTAGGGTTATCTTAATTTATATTGAAGCTAATAGGCTATCTCTGGTCTAAACAAGGAAGTCTAAAGCAAAGAAAGTAAATTTCCTGAAGTGTGAAAACCCAGAAACTGAAACTACTGTAGCCTGCTATAAACTAGATACTTAAGGTTCATCATTAAGACATATATAATACCCTATTACTAGATTTTAGTAGTTAGGATTAAATATTAGGCTAGGCCTAGTTAAAAATATTTTATGTGGCTCAGCATACATTTGATATTGTGGCATAGTGTAAAACTAGCTTTAACACAAATTCTAATTTGGAATCAGCCAACAGGAAGAAATAAAATAGCCTAATATAGTACACCTCGATCTGCTAAGCTATTCCTTTGACATAACCTTTTTACATCATATTTGATTAGCTTAAAAGATTCTGAGATGGCGAACATGTCATGTAGTGAAGGAGAATCAGATTCTTCAGATGCTGGAGTAAGTAAATCAATAATATTTTTAGAGAAACAATGGTATGATCTCATTAGATGGTGGGCTAAGTATATGGCAAGTTGGTGTGTGATAGGTGGTGCACAGTGGTTTGGCGTGTGGCAGGTTGTTGTATGGTGGACAGGTGCATTGGTGTGTTGTGGGTCAGTGTTTGGTGGGTTGTTATATAGTTGGTTTGTGTACGGTGGGTCAGTGTTTGGTGGGTTGTTATATAGTTGGTTTCTGTACGGTGGGTCACTGTTTGGTGGGTTGTTATATAGGTGGTTTGTGTACGGTGGGTCAGTGTTTGGTGGGTTGTTATATAGTTGGTTTCTGTAGGGTGGATCAGTGTTTGGTGGGTTGTTATATAGTTGGTCTCTGTAGGGTGAGTCAGTATTTGGTGGGTTGTTATATAGTTGGTTTCTGTAGGGTGGGTCAGTGTTTGGTGGGTTGTTATATAGTTGGTTTGTGTAGGGTGGGTCAGTGTTTGGTGGGTTGTTATATAGTTGGTTTGTGTACGGTGGGTCACTGTTTGATCCATTTAATGAGGATTTTGTTTGTTTTACAATAACAATAATAAAAAAGTTAAAAGAATGAAGAATAATGAAAAACTGTATGTTAATATGCGATCAAAATGAATAGTCAGTAAACATGTTTTTTAATCTGTTGAAACCAGTGGAGTTAGAACACCCTCCCCAATGATTACACAAGTAAAAATTCCATTTTTAAACATTTTTTTGTAGATGTAATTTTTTAGAAGCATTTTTGAATGGGGCCAGATATGTAGAGCAAAAATATGGCTTGGATTGACAAAAATTAAGTTTTTCCAAATCCTAAAGGATGTAAAACATCAAACTTTGTCAAAACCTTGTTGTAGATGTTTTACACAATTACAATACATCCTTTGTACTCTGTATAGGAGAAAGTAAAAAAAAAAAAGGGGGGGGGGGGTGTACTCCTCCTATAACTGTTCCTATAATGACTCTTCAACTTTGACCCCTCGTATTATGTTATGTTTTATTATAAACCCACTGATGCCCTTTTCAGGACAGTGACAGTTTTTTGGAAGATAACCCTTTTACTATCAACCCTGTCCTTCAAGAGGACATTCAGAAACTTAAAGAACGTTTTCCTCAGTCTGCTGTGTCCTGGAGGTAATGGGCTCACTAGGAAAAACTGTTGACTCTTGTTGAACGGTGCCATTACATTAGGTCTTACACCAAAAAAAATGGCTATGCCATCACATTAGGCCTTACACAAAAAAAAATGGCTATGCCATCACATTAGGTCTTACACCAAAAACAATGGCTATGCCATCACATTAGGTCTTACACCAAAAATAATGGCTATGCCATTACATTAGGTCTTACACCAAAAACAATGGCTATGCCATCACATTAGGTCTTACACAAAAAAAAATGGCTATGCCATCACATTAGGTCTTACACCAAAAACAATGGCTATGCCATCACATTAGGTCTTACACCAAAAATAATGGCTATGCCATTACATTAGGTCTTACACCAAAAACAATGGCTATGCCATCACATTAGGTCTTACACCAAAAACAATGGCTATGCCATCACATTAGGTCTTACACCAAAAACAATGGCTATGCCATCACATTAGGTCTTACAGTACACCAAAAACAATGGCTATGCTATCACATTAGGTCTTACACCAAAAACAATGGCTATGCCATCACATTAGGTCTTACACCAAAAACAATGGCTATGCCATCACATTAGGTCTTACACCAAAAACAATGGCTATGCTATTTAAATATTTCAGTTGCAATGGATGTTTGATCTATACATACTTTAACACATAATTACTTATACATGAAGTAATCATACAAAATATGTCCCTAGAACTCTGCCAATTATCAATGAAATGGACTTAGATATGTCTTTACCCACCACATTTCTAGAGGTAAGAGTTGCTTCTCATTTTAGCTATACAATTTTAAACAATCGCATGCCTTAGAATATTTCTCTAGCTCACCATGTTAGAATATTTCTCCCCATGTTACCCAGCTGTAATCAGCAGCCTTAGAATATTTCTCTAGCTCACCATGTTAGAATATTTCTCACCATGTTAGAATATTTCTCACCATGTTACCCAGCTGTAATGGAAAACATTGTATTCTCAGTCTACTGTGACGACAGCCTGGGGATTAATTCCTGGATTACCCGTGGTGATTCGCATCAATTTAAACCATGAACACTATCTCTTCAAGAATGGTAACAATTTAGCTTGTGTTGTATCTTGTAACAATTTAACTTGTGTTGTATCTTGTAACTGTTACAAACAATTTAACTTGTGTTGTATCTTGTAACAATTTAACTTGTGTTGTATCTTGTAACAATTTAACTTGTGTTGTATCTTGCAACTGTTACAAACAATTTAACTTGTGTTGTATCTTGTAACAATTTAACTTGTGTTGTATCTTACAACTGTTACAAACAATTTAACTTGTGTTGTATCTTGCAACTGTTACAAACAATTTAACTTGTGTTGTATCTTGTAACAATTTAACTTGTGTTGTATCTTGCAACTGTTACAAACAATTTAACTTGTGTTGTATCTGGTAACAATTTAACTTGTGTTGTATCTTGCAACTGTTACAAACAATTTAACTTGTGTTGTATCTGGTAACAATTTAACTTGTGTTGTATCTTGTAACAATTTAACTTGTGTTGTATCTGGTAACAATTTAACTTGTGTTGTATCTTGTAACAATTTAACTTGTGTTGTATCTTGTAACAATTTAACTTGTGTTGTATCTTGCAACTGTTACAAACAATTTAACTTGTGTTGTATCTTGCAACTGTTACAAACAATTTAACTTGTGTTGTATCTTGTAACAATTTAACTTGTGTTGTATCTTGCAACTGGACTAGATTTAAGAAACTAATAACCTGTTAAACATTGACAGAATTATATTTTCATCAATGTATTTTTTTTCGTGTTCAAAAACTATTGCTATGTGTGTGTTGACATAAGTTAACCATTACTCCTTACGGAAGTAACAAAAGTTTACCATTACCCCCATTACAAAAATACTTCTTAGGTGTAAATTTGACAGCAGTTCTTAGCTGCTCAGTAAAAAGGTTTTATTTTTTTCTATGACTAGCTGAAGTTTGTTCTGTTGAATGTGAACACAACTGGCTAAAACTAAACCCAACTTTATTTAGCTTCACTTGGGGAGAATACAAACATTTAGTAGTCAAAAATTCTTCAAAACAGATGAACTACCTCATCCAAATAATAAACTGAAAACTTCACATTCTCTTAGATTTCATTATGAGTTATTCTTTAGAGATTAATCTAATGAGGCTGTAAATTGGATGGAACAAAATTCAGCATAAATTAATGTTAATGTCGTACTCTGAAACTTGAAGCTTGTAACACACAATAATATTTTATTTCAGCTGTCATTAGAGTAGACGTCTTTCAGGTTCCAACTTTGAAAAGAAATGGCATCTTAATGCAGATTAAGAAGTAAGAAATTGGGAGTGTAATTTTAAAATCTCTAATTTATCATTTTAAAATAGTTTAAAATTAATTAAATTTAATGGGCAGCTATTTATAGGTCTACAAAAATGTTTTATTTTGACAGCATCGCAGAATCATTCTGTAGAACAAATGTACAGCGGATCGTCAACGAGCGTCAGTCTCCTCTCACCTGTGATGAAACAATCAAGCTGTGAGTTCTAACACACTTTGCTCAGAGAACTGGTTTCAACTTTCTACTCTTTACACTTTGGGTTCATTTGGTTCTAAATATATCATGTGCTAACACACTTTGCTCAGACAACTGGTTTCAACTTTCTACTCTTTACACTTTGGGTTCATTTGGTTCTAAATATATCATGTGCTAACACACTTTGCTCAGAGAACTGGTTTCAACTTTCTACTCTTTACACTTTGGGTTCATTTGGTTCTAATTGTATCTTGTGGTCCATTTAAATCTGGCGTGATTCTCTGGTGATGGATTCTTGAAACGAAATAATGATTGTTTTTTTACTTAGCTCAAAGGAGGAAGTCACTCACTTAAAAGACATGGGCTATACAGAAACAGCCATCTCGCAAGCTCTGAACTTATCAGATGGTACAGTCAATAGCACAATCGACATTCTAATGCAGTCTTCTGAAAAGTAGGTACCTGACTGATGACTGTTCTTGTAAAAAATTATCAACATAACTGCTTGGGATTGTATAACGTTTACTGTTATTGCTAGACAATAAAGTTTTTTTTTTTAAGAGTTGATATTATTTGTTTCTAACCTTTTTTGAATTTTAAACTTTTAAATAAATTTTGTAGCATGTTGGCAAGTCCTAACTTACAACTAAGTGCACACGATGGATTTTTAGCTGAGGTCAGTGATTTTTTTACTGCTAGATGTTTGAACAGTTGTTGTATATTGATGGATGCACATTACATCCTGTTTAACATTTTAAACTGATTGGTTTTGTCAAATTCTACAGCTTTATGCTTACATGCAAAAGAGACTGTTAACTCTGAACGATTACTGCCCTATATGTGACCACCATCATGATATAAAACTCAGTGTCATGCTTAAGGTAATTCCTACTTTTTATGTGACCATCATCATGATATAAAATTCAGTGTCATGCTTAAGGTAATTCCTACTTTTTATGTGACCATCATAATGATCTCCTCACACAAGTCTTAATGTGGTAGTTGAAGTAGCTATAACTCAACAGTAGTGAAGTTGTGTTTAATGTTTGTAATGAATTGTGTGTGTGTGTAATGTTAGATTGAGAATCTATTAAATTAGCTTATCATGCATTGTAACTGGTAACTTTGATTGAGAATCTATTGAGTTAGCTTATCATGAATTGTGACTGGTAAATTTGTCTGAGAATCTATTGAGTTAGCTTATCATGAATTGTGTGTGTGCAATGTTAGATTGAGAATTTATTGAGTTAGCTTATCATGAATTGTGTGTGTGCAATGTTAGATTGAGAATTTATTGAGTTAGCTTATCATGAATTGTGTGTGTGCAATGTTAGATTGAGAATTTATTGAGTTAGCTTATCATGAATTGTGTGTGTGCAATGTTAGATTGAGAATCTATTGAGTTAGCTTATCATGAATTGTGTGTGTGCAATGTTAGATTGAGAATTTATTGAGTTAGCTTATCATGAATTGTGTGTGTGCAATGTTAGATTGAGAATCTATTGAGTTAGCTTATCATGAATTGTGACTGGTAACTTTGATGTCTCCAGCCCATGATTTGCGGCAGCACACTGTGTATCTTCAGCTTCCAAACTCTAGGAGTCATGGCTGATGCTTCGACAGACATCGTTACGGAACCTCAGGTAGTCTGAGAGAAATTAATTTGACTTGTAAAGTAATTGCTTTCTTCATCATCATCACCATCATCACACCAGCCTTAAATCATCACATAAAGACATCCACCAACCTTAAATCATCACATAAAGACATCCACCAACCTTAAATCATCACATAAAAGACAGACGACCACCAAACTGAAATCATCACATAAAAGACAGACGTCCACCAAACTGAAATCATCACATAAAAGACAGACGTCCACCAAACTGAAATCATCACATAAAAGACAGACGTCCACCAAACTGAAATCATCACATAAAAGACAGACGTCCACCAAACTGAAATCATCACATAAAAGACAGACATCCACCAAACTGAAATCATCACATAAAAGACAGACGTCCACCAAACTGAAATCATCACATAAAAGACAGACGTCCACCAAACTGAAATCATCACATAAAAGACAGACGTCCACCAAACTGAAATCATCACATAAAAGACAGACATCCACCAAACTGAAATCATCACATAAAAGACAGACGTCCACCAAACTGAAATCATCACATAAAAGACAGACGTCCACCAAACTTAAATCATCACATAAAAGACAGACGTCCACCAAACTGAAATCATCACATAAAAGACAGACATCCACCAAACTGAAATCATCACATAAAAGACAGACGTCCACCAAACTGAAATCATCACATAAAAGACAGACGTCCACCAAACTGAAATCATCACATAAAAGACAGACGTCCACCAAACTTAAATCATCACATAAAAGACAGACGACCACCAAACTTAAATCATCACATAAAAAACAGGCGTCCACCAAACTGAAATCATCACATAAAAGACAGACGTCCACCAAACTTAAATCATCACACAAAAAACAGACGTCCACCAATGTTTAACCTTTGACCTGAGCAGGTGGTGTACTTGCTACTGCAGTTGACAAGGGCTGCTGTTGAATCAGCTAGGCATGACCTAATATTGGCCCCCTACCCCACCATTGTGGATGACAAGCTCCATGAAATTGTTCTCTATGAGCAGGTTGGTTCCTAAACCTTGTTGGTCAAGTTTTGTGTGGGCAGGTTGGTAAAGTTTTGTGTGGGCAGGTTGGTAAAGTTTTGTATGAGCAGGTTGGTAAAGTTTTGTATGAGCAGGTTGGTAAAGTTTTGTATGAGCAGGTTGGTAAAGTTTTGTGTGGGCAGGTTGGTAAAGTTTTGTGTGGGCAGGTTGGTAAAGTTTTGTATGAGCAGGTTGGTAAAGTTTTGTATGAGCAGGTTGGTAAAGTTTTGTATGAGCAGGTTGGTAAAGTTTTGTATGAGCAGGTTGGTAAAGTTTTGTATGAGCAGGTTGGTAAAGTTTTGTATGAGCAGGTTGGTAAAGTTTTGTGTGGGCAGGTTGGTAAAGTTTTGTGTGGGCAGGTTGGTTCCTACACCTTGTTGGTAAAGTGATGTTTTTTACCTCACCCCCTCCCCTCCGTCACATGTCATCACAAAAAGCTAGACCCCCCCCTTCCCCTAAAATGACGTCACACCTCAGCCTACAACACATCTCAAAATTGCTGTTGAATTTTTCTTAAAACATCGATTTTTTCCAAAACCTTGTCAGAACTCTGTCAACAGAGTATTTTGATAAATTCCTGTTACAATTTATTAAAACAGTTTTCTAAAACGCGAAATAACAGCTAAAACTCGTTTTCTAACATTGTTTTTTCTATAATGCAAAAGTGTGACATCACACCATCTAACCCCCCCTCCCCCTCATCACAAACCGTCACAAATTACGGACCCCCCATACCCCTACGAGTGTGACATCATTTATGGATGACCCCTTGTGTATGAGTAGGTTGGTTCCACCATTTCACAAGACTTTCTTGCACCTTATAGGTAGAGTTTAGCGAAAACAGTTTAATTTGTTAATTAAAAAAAATTCTGTTGACAGAAAAAAGACATCACGCTGCTAAAGGAAATCATCTCTAGCATTCCTCATATCAAAACATTGTTGGACATTGATCCAGAAAATTTGAAACAATTCATGGAAAATGTTCATCCATTCAGCTACTCCCTTCTCAGATGGTAACATTTTATTGATAACATTTCATGGATACAACTACTGGCAACATTTTATTGATAACATTTCATTGATAGAACTGTTGGCAACATTTTATTGATAACATTTCATTGATACAACAATTGGTAACATTTAAATGATAACATTAATTGATAGAATAATGGGAAACTGTTTCCTTCTAATTAATGTATTAAATTTCTTGAAATAAGTTTGACAACTTGTGTCTTAGTATAATGTATTTTTGACTTACTGACTAGGATTATATCAAGTAATCGCTCTTAACATAATGTATTTTTGACTTACTGACTAGGATTATATCAAGTAATCGCTCTTAACATAATGTATTTTTGACTTACTGACTAGGATTATATCAAGTAATCGCTCTTAGTATAATGTATTTTTGACTTACTGACTAGGATTATATCAAGTAATCGCTCTTAGTATAATGTATTTTTGACTTACTGACTAGGATTATATCAAGTAATCGCTCTTAATATAATGTATTTTTGACTTACTGACTAGGATTATATCAAGTAATCGCTCTTAGTATAATGTATTTTTGACTTACTGACTAGGATTATATCAAGTAATCGCTCTTAGTATAATGTATTTTTCACTTACTGACTAGGATTATATCAAGTAATCGTTCCCACATTGTCAAGCTGGCCAAAGAACAGGTAACTGGTTGTTCTATTTTTAGTTCGTTACGTTTTTTCTTATATAACTTTTCTTAAAATTATATTTGTATTAACCGCCAATAACTAATGAAATCTGTCCACTTTTCCATAATTGAATGAAAATACAAGCCGTAGATTTTTTTCTGTATTCTGTGCAGTACCTTGACTTCATGCACACAAATCACCAGTTTTTGTTGCGTAACAGTCCGCCACTAGAAGATCAACGCTTTCGTGAAGAAAAGAGTAAATCAGGAAGTGTTTTTGCTTTCCAGTAAGTCATGCTGTTATAGTTTAGCCAGTTAGTCATGCAGTGTTATAGTTTAGCCAGTTAGTCATGCCAAGTTATAGTTTAGCCAGTTAGTCATGCCAAGTTATAGTTTAGCCAGTTAGTCATGCTGAGTTATAGTTTAGCCAGTTAGTCATGCCAAGTTATAGTTTAGTCAGTTAGTCATGCTGAGTTATAGTTTAGCCAGTTAGTCATGTCAAGTTATAGTTTAGCCAGTTAGTCATGCCAAGTTATAGTTTAGCCAGTTAGTCATGTCAAGTTATAGTTTAGCCAGTTAGTCATGCAGAGTTATAGTTTAGCCAGTTAGTCATGCTGAGTTATAGTTTAGCCAGTTAGTCATGCCAAGTTATAGTTTAGCCAGTTAGTCATGCCAAGTTATAGTTTAGCCAGTTAGTCATGCCAAGTTATAATTTAGCCAGTTAGTCATGCAGAGTTATAGTTTAGCCAGTTAGTCATGCCAAGTTATAGTTTAGCCAGTTAGTCATGCAGAGTTATAGTTTAGCCAGTTAGTCATGCCAAGTTATAGTTTAGCCAGTTAGTCATGCCAAGTTATAGTTTAACCAGTTAGTCATGCTGAGTTATAGTTTAGCCAGTTAGTCATGCCAAGTTATAGTTTAGCCAGTTAGTCATGCTGAGTTACAGTTTAGCCAGTAAGTCATGCTGAGTTATAGTTTAGTCAGTTAGTCATGCTGAGTTATAGTTTAGCCAGTTAGTCATGCCAAGTTATAGTTTAGCCAGTTAGTCATGCAGAGTTATAGTTTAGCCAGTTAGTCATGCTGAGTTATAGTTTAGCCAGTTAGTCATGCCAAGTTATAATTTAGCCAGTTAGTCATGCTGAGTTATAGTTTAGCCAGTTAGTCATGCCAAGTTATAGTTTAGCCAGTTAGTCATGCCAAGTTATAGTTTAGCCAGTTAGTCATGCAGAGTTATAGTTTAGCCAGTTAGTCATGCTGAGTTATAGTTTAGCCAGTTAGTCATGCCAAGTTATAGTTTAGCCAGTTAGTCATGCCAAGTTATAGTTTAGCCAGTTAGTCATGCCAAGTTATAGTTTAGCCAGTTAGTCATGCAGAGTTATAGTTTAGCCAGTTAGTCATGCCAAGTTATAATTTAGCCAGTTAGTCATGCTGAGTTATAGTTTAGCCAGTTAGTCATGCCAAGTTATAGTTTAGCCAGTTAGTCATGCCAAGTTATAGTTTAGCCAGTCGTTTCATTAGAATATAAATTTGAAAAGAAACTTGAAGGCTAATTTCTCCAAATCTAGTTTCTCCAACTATCCCCAATGGTAACCCATCTTTTTTGTAGTTGTAGTAATTTTGGTTGCTGTTTAAAATAGTTGCTGTTTTTTTATTTTAGGATATTTTATATTTATTCAGTTAAAACAGGGGTTCCCAACCCTGTGCCCGCGGTCGCCATGGCGCCCGCCGAACGATTCGTATTTGCCCGCCTCTCACTATTCGACAGATACAGAATTATTTTTAATGAACATTATTTTAAAATATGATTTATTTTTATTCATTTGTTACAGTTTTAATTTTTTTTGACTGCCTAGGTTTATAAAATATGTTCGATACTTGTCCCAACCTGTCTAGCGGCGAGCTAGACTGCACTATTTACGTTTTGGAAATACATTTCTCTGTGTGTATACAATTTGAAAAAAATGCCAAATAATTTTATTATTTTGAAACATTTTTGTTTATTATTTATTAATACATTATGACTATAAGTAAATAAGAAAATAAATTATGGGAAAATGACAAGTTATGGAAGGAGTTTGTCGATTTAAAATAGGTGGTGCCTGCCACCCTACCGATATTTTAGAATGTGCTCTAGAGTAAAAAAAGGTTGGGAACCCCTGAGTTAAAAGATAATTAAATATTAAATATAAATTAAAAAATGAATTTTTTTTTCAGTGGTTCACCAATAGAGAATTGGCACTCCATAATCAGACAAGGTCTTTTGGTAGCCAGTGGAACCAGTAAACAGGTAGACTAGGAGGTTTAGATACCTGTGGCAGGTAGACTAGGAGGTTTAGATACCTGTGGCAGGTAGACTAGGAGGTTTAGATACCTGTGGCAGGTAGACTAGGAGGTTTAGATACCTGTGGCAGGTAGACTAGGAGGTTTAGATACCTGTGGCAGGTAGACTAGGAGGTTTAGATACCTGTGGCAGGTAGACTAGGAGGTTTGGATACCTGTGGCAGGTAGACTAGGAGGTTAAGATGCCTGTGACAGGTAGACTAGGAGGTTTAGATACCTGTGGCAGATAGACTAGGTTTAGATACCTGTGGCAGGTAGACTAGATAGCTGTGGCAGGTAGACTAGGAGGTTTGGGTACCTGTGGCAGGTAGACTAGGAGGTTTAGATGCCTGTGACAGGTAGACTAGGAGGTTTAGATACCTGTGGCAGGTAGACTAGGTTTAGATACCTGTGGCAGGTAGACTAGGAGGTTTAGATACCTGGGGCAGGTAGACTAGGAGGTTTAGATACCTGTTGCAGGTAGACTAGGACGTTTAGATACCTGTGACAGGTAGACTAGGAGATTTAGATACCTGTGGCAGGTAGACTAGGAGGTTTAGATACCTGTGGCAGGTAGACTAGGAGATTTAGATACCTGTGACAGGTAGACTAGGTTTGGATACCTGTGGCAGGTAGACTAGGAGGTTTAGATACCCATGGCAGGTAGACTAGGAGGTTTGGATACCTGTGGCAGGTAGACTAGGAGGTTTAGATACCTGTGACAGGTAGACTAGATACCTGTGGCAGGTAGACTAGGAGGTTTAGATACCTGTGGCAGGTAGACTAGGAGGTTTGGATACCTGTGGCAGGTAGACTAGGAGGTTTGGATACCTGTGGCAGGTAGACTAGATACCTGTGGCAGGTAGACTAGGAGGTTTAGATACCTGTGGCAGGTAGACTAGGAGGTTTGGATACCTGTGGCAGGTAGACTAGGAGGTTTGGATACCTGTGGCAGGTAGACTAGGAGGTTTGGATACCTGTGGCAGGTAGACTAGGAGGTTTAGATACCTGTGACAGGTAGACTAGGAGGTTTAGATACCTGTGGCAGGTAGACTAGATACCTGTGGCAGGTAGACTAGATGCCTGTGGCAGGTAGGCTAGGAGGTTTAGATACCTGGGGCAGGTAGACTAGGAGGTTTAGATACCTGGGGCAGGTAGACTAGGAGGTTTAGATACCTGTGGCAGGTAGACTAGATACCTGTGGCAGGTAGACTAGGAGGTTTAGATACCTGTGGCAGGTAGACTAGGAGGTTTAGATACCTGTGGCAGGTAGACTAGGAGGTTTAGATACCTGGGGCAGGTAGACTAGGAGGTTTAGATACCTGTGGCAGGTAGACTAGATACCTGTGGCAGGTAGACTAGGAGGTTTAGATACCTGTGACAGGTAGACTAGGAGGTTTAGATACCTGTGACAGGTAGACTAGGAGGTTTAGATACCTGTGGCAGGTAGACTAGGAGGTTTAGATACCTGTGACAGGTAGACTAGGAGGTTTAGATACCTGTGACAGGTAGACTAGGTTTGGATACCTGTGGCAGGTAGACTATGTTTGTGATTGATGAATGACAGCCATTTGTGTGAAGCTGACCATTAGCTAGATAACTGTTCAGTAAGTCAATGAGATGTGTGATTGATGAATGACAGCCATTAGTGTGAAGCTGACCATTAGCTAGACACAAGAAAAAAATTCTTGTCAGCAAGTGGTACACCAAACCTTATGTAACAAGTTTGTCTGATTTGATTGCTAAAAGCTAACCTGTTGACTTTAAGTTTGTCTGATTTGATTGTTAAAAGCTAACCTGTTGACTTTGTCCCCAGCTCAACGGGGCAGCCTATGGCAAAGGTATCTACATCAGCCCTCACCTCAACACTTCACTGGGATATTGTAACAGGCTTCTAAGTATATCTATGCCCCCTACCAAAAAGGCTAAGGTGATTTGTTTAACCTCAGTTCTAGTTTTAAAACTTGAATAGTCAGAGCTAGGCTCAATCCAATTCTTTTAACCTAGCTGTAAACCTACAATGTAATAGTCTAACTTGACACTACAAAGTTTACCTCATTAACTGTATACTGACCTGTACCTCACTGTTTCACCTGTACCTCACTGTTTCACCTGTACCTCACTGTTTCACCTGTACCTCACTGTTTCACCTGTACCTCACTGTTTCACCTGTACCTCACTGTTTCACCTGTACCTCACTGTTTCACCTGTACCTCACTGTTTCACCTGTACCTCACTGTTTCACCTGTACCTCACTGTTTCACCTGTACCTCACTGTTTCACCTGTACCTCACTGTTTCACCTGTACCTCACTGTTTCACCTGTACCTCACTGTTTCACCTGTACCTAACTTTTGTTCCAGAAAGCTGCAGTTGACCCCAATGACCCCCAAGATGAATTCATTGATCATTTACTGGAGAAGATGACATGTATAGCTTTGTGTGAGGGTATGTATAGCTTTGTGTGAGGGTATGTATAGCTTTGTGTGAGGGTATGTATAGCTTTGTGTGAGGGTATGTATAGCTTTGTGTGAGGGTATGTATAGCTTTGTGTGAGGGTATGTATAGCTTTGTGTGAGGGTATGTATAGCTTTGTGTGAGGGTATGTATAGCTTTGTGTGAGGGTATGTATAGCTTTGTGTGAGGGTATGTATAGCTTTGTGTGAGGGTATGTATAGCTTTGTGTGAGGGTATGTATAGCTTTGTATCATAAATGACAGGTGGTATATTATATTCATGTACCCAGTTTGTACAGAATACAACTTCATGCTTTCCAAAGTTTGTTCTTGTGTCTCATGAAAAAGAATGCCACTTGGTGTTTTGACTGATTTGGTTAAAATTTGTATTTTTTCAGTCATCAACAACAACCACTTAAAATTTGTATTTTTTCAGTCATCAACAACAACCACCTAAAATTTGTATTTTTTCAGTCATCAACAACAACCACTTAAAATTTGTATTTTTTCAGTCATCAACAACAACCACCTAAAATTTGTATTTTTTCAGTCATCAACAACAACCACCTAAAATTTGTATTTTTTCAGTCATCAACAACAACCACTTAAAATTTGTATTTTTTCAGTCATCAACAACAACCACCTAAAATTTGTATTTTTTCAGTCATCAACAACAACCACCTAAAATTTGTATTTTTTCAGTCATCAACAACAACCACCTAAAGAGGCACTGTGATACCATATGGACCTGTGAAAAAAGTGAATTTATCTGCACACGATTCTTTTTTGTGTAAGTCTATCTCAACAGTGTATACAAACTATATTTTTTGCTTTAGCCACATCAGCTTTTTCAGGAGGGCAGAGCTTTGTATAAGAAATCTGTGATTAACAAACTTGAATTACTTCAATCGAATCACGGATGACAAATGCTATGTAGGCCTTTATTTTTTTTTCACTGTGGAGCAAAATAATTTAAGAGCGCGTGTAAGCTTTTGTTTGGAGATAGCAAAGTTTTCAGATAACATGACTAGTTCTGTCTTGGGCTCAAGTTCTCAAAGCATACACTAATAAAATCAGGAACAAACAAACCCACAAACATGACAAGTGCTGAAAGGGTTAACAACCTTTGACCTAAAGATAATTTGTAACAATGGTTCACCTCACGTCACCAGATTTTGAAATGAACTATTTTGTTTCAGGTATGACAGAAACTTTCCGGCCAACTTAGTGGAGCAAGAGATCCACATGAAACCAGGCAGCAAGTACGTCAAGCAGATTGAACAAGCTCTAGAAGCCACCAAATAGCCAGCCACTGATGTTTTTACAGCTGTCCACCTCAGCAGAGTTCACATTGATGCCTTACTCCACTACAATACATGACGCTGGATTACTCCATTATACAATACATGACGTTACCTTACTCCACTACAATACTTGATGCTGGCTTACTCCAAAATAACAGTACACTATGATGCCTTACTCATCAGCTGCTAAAGTTTTAACAAATATTTATTGACAGTTTTGTTCACGTTTGAATTTGTTTTACAGAAGTTTTACAAAAGTTTTACATAATTTTTACTTAAGTTTACAAATGGTGATCAGAGAGACAAGAGCTCACCTATCCTACAGATTGTCAGGTCAACCCAAATGCCCTATAGATTGTCAGGCCAACATTGTTTAACTAGTAGATGCCATGTGTCACTTAACTTTATCTTTTTATCATGGGTCCATGTGGAAATGCAGGTGCCTGAAGCATGAATAAAAATATGTTCAAACATTCCATAGTTTACATACAGCACCGCTGCAACTTTTAACAACTGTCCAGCATCTACTGTGCTACAGCTGACAGCTATATGCTTTCAAACAACTGTTCTACAGCTGACAGCTATATGCTTTCAAACAACTGTCCTACAGCTACAGCTGGGCTGACAGCTAGAGGCTAACCAGCAATATTAGCTGCTCAAATGCTTTTGTTCAATTTCTACATTCACAGCTTCACCTATTTTTGTCAGACTTACTCATCCAAAGATGCCTTCATTGATTGATACTCATTGATTGAGTTCCTCTCATTCCAATCATGCACAAGTATTTAATGCTAATGGATTGATTTCCAATCATGCACAAGTATTTAATGCTAATGGATTGATTTCCAATCATGCACAAGTATTTAATGCTAATGGATTGATTTCCAATCATGCACAAGTATTTAATGCTAATGGATTGATTTCCAATCATGCAGAAGTATTTAATGCAAATGGATTGATTTCCAATCATGCAGAAGTATTTAATGCTAATGGATTGATTTCCAATCATGCAGAAGTATTTAATGCTAATGGATTGATTTCCAATCATGCACAAGTATTTCATGCTAATGGATTGATTTCCAATCATGCACAAGTATTTAATGCTAATGGATTGATTTCCAATCATGCAGAAGTATTTTGTCTTCACAGATTCCAACGATGCAGACTTTACTGCCCTCTGTAGAAATGCATTTTATAGATATTTATATTTGTTTTTAATTATGACTTTTAATAATGACAGTGTTTATTTACATTTTCAGGAAGATTTGTGAATAGTTGCTTACTTTTGTAAATATTAAAAACCAATAAAAAAACAACTCAATTTTTTGTCATCAAATGATGGTGTGAAGTGTAACAGCCCATTTGAGCCTACTTAAAATAGGCTTGAAAAGTCTATGGAATCACACTAAATTTTCAAAAATCTTTTTAAAAAAATGGCAAGCAATAAAAGTCAAGTTAAATTACAAAAAATTAAAGCTGTTTGGGAACTGTCGATTACATCTAATTTTTATATTTTTGTATTGAGTATAAGCTGTTGAAAAGCAGTTTAGAATTATTTTATCAATTCAAATATTAAAAAACACTGCCCTCAACCTCACCTTGAAATCAATTGAAGTGGCCAGGGAATGTAAAATAATGAAATTCACTCTTGTTTTCCAGGATAAAATACACAATAACGGTCCTTGGGGTATAGCCTAGTAGTTTATTTATATTAAATAATATAATATCCCCTATCACAACAATATAACATCCTCTATCACAACACCTTGACTCTGCTAATCCAAATTAAAAAAAAATTGTTAGCTAAATTACTACTGCATTACTAGTAACTATTTCTTTTACTATTTCTAGCCTTAATGAAACCGTAAGTCATTTTGTACTTATTTCTCAAATGTTAGAAAATTTTCAATTTTGGTTGAAAAATATGCTTTCTAGCAACACAAATTTGGAACCAGCTTTTCAAGCCTATTAATATTATTATTTTATACACAGCGCAAAGCGACATAACTGTACTAAATATTTGATGTAAGTTGTTTAGAGTGGCAGCCCTTAGGAGTCATCATTAAATACTAATAATTAGTACATTAGTAACTAATTGTGTATTTTGAAAGACTGAGCTGTGAAAGTGGTCACCCACATGTGGCTAGAGTTGTAGGGACGTACCCTGAGAGATGCCACAGCTAAACTACCTGTCCAGTGGTAGACACGGCTTCAGTGTCAACCAGGTGTATTCTGCCAACCAGGTGTATTCTGACCATTCTGCCAACCGGGTGTATTCTGCCAACCAGGTGTATTCTGCCAACCAGGTGTATTCTGCCAACCAGGTGTATTCTGACCATTCTGCCAACCGGGTGTATTCTGCCAACCAGGTGTATTCTGACCATTCTGCCAACCAGGTGTATTCTGACCATTCTGCCAACCAGGTGTATTCTGCCAACCAGGTGTATTCTGACCATTCTGCCAACCAGGTGTATTCTGCCAACCAGGTGTATTCTGACCATTCTGCCAACCAGGTGTATTCTGCCAACCAGGTGTATTCTGACCATTCTGCCAACCAGGTGTATTCTGCCAACCAGGTGTATTCTGCTAACCAGGTGTACTCTGACCATTCTGCCAACCGGGTGTATTCTGCCAACCAGGTGTATTCTGATCATTCAGCCAACCAGGTGTATTCTGCCAACCAGGTGTATTCTGCCAACCAGGTGTATTCTGACCATTCTGCCAACCAGGTGTATTCTGCCAACCAGGTGTATTCTGACTATTCTGCCAACCAGGTGTATTCTGCCAACCAGGTGTATTCTGCCAACCAGGTGTATTCTGCCAACCAGGTGTATTCTGCCAACCAGGTGTATTCTGACCATTCTGCCAACCAGGTGTATTCTGCCAACCAGGTGTATTCTGACCATTCTGCCAACCAGGTGTATTCTGCCAACCAGGTGTATTCTGCCAACCAGGTGTATTCTGACCATTCTGCCAACCAGGTGTATTCTGCCAACCAGGTGTATTCTGCCAACCAGGTGTATTCTGACCATTCTGCCAACCAGGTGTATTCTGCCAACCAGGTGTCTTCTGCCAACCAGGTGTATTTTGCCAACCAGGTGTATTCTGCCAACCAGGTGTATTTTGCCAACCAGGTGTATTCTGCCAACTAGGTGTATTCTGCCAACCAGGTGTATTCTGACCATTCTGCCAACCGGGTGTATTCTGCCAACCAGGTGTATTCTGACCATTCTGCCAACCAGGTGTATTCTGCCAACCAGTTGTATTCTGACCATTCTGCCAACCAGGTGTATTCTGCCAACCAGGTGTATTCTGACCATTTTGCCAACCAGGTGTATTCTGCCAACCAGGTGTATTCTGACCATTCTGCCAACCAGGTGTATTCTGCCAACCAGGTGTATTCTGCCAACCAGGTGTATTCTGACCATTCTGCCAACCAGGTGTATTCTGACCATTCTGCCAACCAGGTGTATTCTGCCAACCAGGTGTATTCTGCCAACCAGGTGTATTCTGCCAACCAGGTGTATTCTGACCATTCTGCCAACCAGGTGTATTCTGCCAACCAGGTGTCTTCTGCCAACCAGGTGTATTTTGCCAACCAGGTGTATTCTGCCAACCAGGTGTATTTTGCCAACCGAGTGTATTCTGCCAACCAGGTGTATTCTTACCATTCTGCCAACCGGGTGTATTCTGCCAACCAGGTGTATTCTGACCATTCTGCCAACCGGGTGTATTCTGCCAACCAGGTGTATTCTGACCATTTTGCCAACCAGGTGTATTCTGCCAACCAGGTGTATTCTGACCATTCTGCCAACCAGGTGTATTCTGCCAACCAGTTGTATTCTGACCATTCTGCCAACCAGGTGTATTCTGCCAACCAGGTGTATTCTGACCATTTTGCCAACCAGGTGTATTCTGCCAACCAGGTGTATTCTGACCATTCTGCCAACCGGGTGTATTCTGCCAACCAGGTGTATTCTGACCATTCTGCCAACCAGGTGTATTCTGCCAACCAGTTGTATTCTGACCATTCTTCCAACCAGGTGTATTTTGCCAACCAGGTGTATTCTGACCATTCTGCCAACCAGGTGTATTCTGCCAACCAGGTGTATTCTGCCAACCAGCTGTATTCTGACCATTCTGCCAACCAGGTGTATTCTGCCAACCAGGTGTATTCTGACCATTTTGCCAACCAGGTGTATTCTGCCAACCAGGTGTATTCTGACCATTCTGCCAACCAGGTGTATTCTGCCAACCAGGTGTATTCTGCCACCCAGGTGTATTCTGACCATTCTGCCAACCAGGTGTATTCTGACCATTCTGCCAACCAGGTGTATTCTGCCAACCAGGTGTATTCTGCCAACCAGGTGTATTCTGCCAACCAGGTGTATTCTGACCATTCTGCCAACCAGGTGTATTCTGACCATTCTGCCAACCAGGTGTATTCTGCCAACCAGGTGTATTCTGCCAACCAGGTGTATTCTGCCAACCAGGTGTATTCTGACCATTTTGCCAACCAGGTGTATTCTGCCAACCAGGTGTATTCTGACCATTCTGCCAACCAGGTGTATTCTGCCAACCAGGTGTATTCTGCCAACCAGGTGTATTCTGACCATTCTGCCAACCAGGTGTATTCTGCCAACCAGGTGTAGTCTGCCAACCAGGTGTATTCTGACCATTCTTCCAACCAGGTGTATTTTGCCAACCAGGTGTATTCTGACCATTCTGCCAACCAGGTGTATTCTGCCAACCAGGTGTATTCTGCCAACCAGCTGTATTTTGCCAACCAGGTGTATTCTGCCAACCAGGTGTATTCTGCCAACCAGGTGTATTCTGCCAACCAGGTGTATTCTGACCATTCTGCCAACCAGGTGTATTCTGCCAACCAGGTGTATTCTGCCAACCAGGTGTATTCTGACCATTCTGCCAACCAGGTGTATTCTGCCAACCAGGTTTATTCTGACTATTCTGCCAACCAGGTGTATTCTGCCAACCAGGTGTATTCTCCCAACCAGGTGTATTATGCCAGCCAGGTGTATTCTGCCAGCAAGGTGTATTCTTACCATTCTGCCAACTAGGTGTATTCTGCCAACCAGGTGTATTCTGCCAACCAGGTGTATTCTGACCATTCTGCCAACCAGGTGTATTCTGCCAACCAGGTTTATTCTGACTATTCTGCCAACCAGGTCTATTCTGCCAACCAGGTGTATTCTCCCAACCAGGTGTATTATGCCAACCGAGTGTATTCTGCCAACCAGGTGTATTCTGACCATTCTGCCAACTAGGTGTATTCTGCCAACCAGGTGTATTCTGCCAACCAGGTGTATTCTGCCAGCCAGGTGTATTCTGCCAACCAGGTGTATTCTGACCATTCTGCCAACCAGGTGTATTCTGCCAACCAGGTGTATTCTGACTATTCTGCCAACCAGGTGTATTCTGCCAACCAGGTGTATTCTCCCAACCAGGTGTATTATGCCAGCCAGGTGTATTCTGCCAGCCAGGTGTATTCTTACCATTCTGCCAACCGAGTGTATTCTGCCAACCAGGTGTATTCTTACCATTCTGCCAACCGGGTGTATTCTGCCAACCAGGTGTATTCTGACCATTCTGCCAACCAGGTGTATTCTGCCAACCAGGTTTATTCTGACTATTCTGCCAACCAGGTCTATTCTGCCAACCAGGTGTATTCTCCCAACCAGGTGTATTATGCCAACCGAGTGTATTCTGCCAACCAGGTGTATTCTGACCATTCTGCCAACTAGGTGTATTCTGCCAACCAGGTGTATTCTGCCAACCAGGTGTATTCTGCCAGCCAGGTGTATTCTGCCAACCAGGTGTATTCTGACCATTCTGCCAACCAGGTGTATTCTGCCAACCAGGTGTATTCTGACTATTCTGCCAACCAGGTGTATTCTGCCAACCAGGTGTATTCTCCCAACCAGGTGTATTATGCCAGCCAGGTGTATTCTGCCAGCCAGGTGTATTCTTACCATTCTGCCAACCGAGTGTATTCTGCCAACCAGGTGTATTCTTACCATTCTGCCAACCGGGTGTATTCTGCCAACCAGGTGTATTCTGACCATTCTGCCAACCAGGTGTATTCTGCCAACCAGGTGTATTCTGACCATTCTTGCCATTTGTGCTGCTACTGAAAGTCCATTTGGTTGGCACCCAATGTCCCATAACACAAATTATTCAATTATTATTTTCATTATTATTTAGGTTTAACATAAAAAAATAACCCTCTATATATTAATATAGCAGAGTGTGACTACTTGCTAATAAAGTTGAGATATAGACAAAAATAGTTGATAACATTAAACCCACAAGGGCCGCAATCTAGCTTGATTACATCATACCATTTTAATAGTTATTTCACTTTACTACAGTTCACAATAACTTGAGTTCCCTTAAGTGGAGTGTAGGCCTACGCTGTAGTATGTTGAAGGTGAGTGTTTTGTTATGTGTCGTTAGCAAGCCGTACTATGATGTATTTTGTATTGTATAACTTGCAGGATGTACTGTTGTATTGTGTAACTGGCAGGTTGTTCTGTTGTATTGTGCAGATATCCGCTAAACACATCATAACATGGTATCTCTACAAAGTTTCAATAAATCAGGGACACGTTTTGTTACATTACATGTTCTCTTTCACTCAAAATAAACAGGAGATTTCTTCACATTGACTCTTTACACACATCACAGCTCTGATCACACGTTTTGTCTCAGGCTTCCGTGTTAGACAACTCACACATTACACATAACACACTTAAACAGTAAACAGACTGAACGTTCAAGGGACATAACTATGAGATATACATAATACAAGGGACGTTAATGAATTTGTTAACTTTTACTAGTCTTGTTTTAATTTTTAAACTGACTTATCGATGATGTTTATTCCATGAACTATGAACTGATAAAATTAGGTCTACTTATAGAACTAAGTTATTTAGCTATTAACTATAGAAGACGTTGCAGTTACCATTTATAATATTTATATCTATTATCAAAATGGATATCCACTTTCAGATAATATAAGGTCACTGGTCCATAAGGAAAACCCGCAATCTAAAATTAGCACATGAAGCGGATTCGTTTACATCGCGGAAAATGTAGCTTCGCTGATTTAGTTAAAGGTATATAAAGGCTACTACCAATCAATGGGTAACCAGCATTACAGAGTAACGCTGGTCATAGTCTTGTTGTGACAGCTTCACAGAAACCTAGCTATCTTAAACGTAGCTATCTTAACCCTAACTACCTTAAACCTAACTACCTTAAACCTAACTACTTTAAACCTAACTACCTTAAACCTAACAACTAAAACCAGCAGCGATGTCAGCCACGCCTCACGCCACCCTAGAGGTCGTCTTCTCATTCGACACGACGGGCTCCATGTACAACTGGCTGGAACAGGTCCGTGGGCGTGTCCAAGACATCATCCAGCGCCTGCAGGCAGACATCCCCGGCATCCGGTTTGCCGTGCTGGCTCACGGCGACTACTGCGACACGGACATCTACGTCACCAAGTGGATAGACTTCACGACTGACGTCACCCAACTTTGCCAGTTCGTGCAAAACGCCGAGCAGACGGCCGGGGGTGACGAGCCCGAGTGTTACGAACTTGCCCTCAGACAAATTCGGACCGAGCTCTCGTGGACGCCGGGGTCGCGGCGGGTGGTGGTGCTGATAGGGGACGAGGTGCCGCATGAGCCGGGGGACGCCTGCAACACGGACAAGCTGGACTGGCGCCAGGAGACTAAGGCCCTGGCTCTACACGGTGTCACCATCTACGGCGTGCAGTGCGCGAGAAACGACGCCGACTTTTTCTACCAGTCCATCTCCATGGCAACCAACGGTAAACACCTGCGCCTGGAGGAGATGTCGAGCCTGCTTGACACGCTGATGGCCGTGTGTTACAAGGAGAGCCAAGACACGGCACTGCTGGCCAACTACGAGAGCGAAGTTCGCGCGAGGTCCAGCCACGTTAGACTGGCCGCTGACATAGACGCCATCTTTGCTGCACTACGTCACCAGACCGGAAGTCCGGCAAGCGCTACAGATCATCCACCAGCTAAGTTAAGTGCATCAACAGATCTCAACTTAACGCCTCCAAAACCTGTAAAGAAAATCAAAACCATCCGTAAAGAAATAAAAACACCTTCGAAGAAAACTTCTCAGTTACTAAATAAAAGACCAGCCAACAACTTGTTCGCCAGATATAAACTAAAAAATCTGCCTTTGCTCAAGCGGGAGAATGTTCCCGAAACAAATTTCAGCCTCCGTACGTTAAACTGGTCTCGTTGGTACCTCGCCATGTCGCCAGATATGCCGGGAGATTCAACATTGTGGGTCAAAAGAGCCGGCAGACCGGGGTACCGGCTGAAACATCTGCCTACATCAAAGGTTGCCGGCACAAAACTGGTGGAGGTTGCCGTACAATGTGGGGGAGCCAGGAGCAAGAAATACACCGTGCTCAGCAAGTTGGCCAGTCCATGTTTTCTTACATCTGCCTGGCCGAGTCGTCTGCTAGCCCGGCAGTGTGGTCAAGTTGACCGGGTGTTGACAGCAGGGTGTCAAGTTTACATTCGCTACAGCCACATAGGACAGCAGCACCGACACGATGTGACATCACAACTCAAACGGTATGACTATGCTTGGCAACAACTCAAAAGTCGAGGTGGGTCGCGGACAGTGGTCAGATCAGGAGTTGTGATTTCGTCATGATGGTGTAGGGTTCACATCTCGTCATGACTCTCTAGGGTTCACATCTCGTCATGACTCTCTAGGGTTCACATCTCGTCATGACTCTCTAGGGTTCAGATGTCGTCATGACTCTCTAGGGTTCACATCTCGTCATGACTCTCTAGGGTTCACATCTCGTCATGACTCTCTAGGGTTCACATCTCGTCATGACTCTCTAGGGTTCAGATGTCGTCATGACTCTCTAGGGTTCACATCTCGTCATGACTCTCTAGGGTTCACATCTCGTCATGACTCTCTAGGGTTCACATCTCGTCATGACTCTCTAGGGTTCAGATGTCGTCATGACTCTCTAGGGTTCACATCTCGTCATGACTCTCTAGGGTTCACATCTCGTCATGACTCTCTAGGGTTCACATCTCGTCATGACTCTCTAGGGTTCAGATGTCGTCATGACTCTCTAGGGTTCACATCTCGTCATGACTCTCTAGGGTTCACATCTCGTCATGACTCTCTAGGGTTCACATCTCGTCATGACTCTCTAGGGTTCAGATGTCGTCATGACTCTCTAGGGTTCACATCTCGTCATGACTCTCTAGGGTTCACATCTCGTCATGACTCTCTAGGGTTCACATCTCGTCATGACTCTCTAGGGTTCAGATGTCGTCATGACTGTCTAGGGTTCACATCCCGTCATGACTGTCTAGGGTTCAGATGTCGTCATGACTCTCTAGGGTTCACATCCCGTCATGACTGTCTAGGGTTCACATCTCGTCATGACTCTCTAGGGTTCACATCTCGTCATGACTCTCTAGGGTTCAGATGTCGTCATGACTCTCTAGGGTTCACATCTCGTCATGACTCTCTAGGGTTCACATCTCGTCATGACTCTCTAGGGTTCACATCCCGTCATGACTCTCTAGGGTTCACATCTCGTCATGACTCTCTAGGGTTCAGATGTCGTCATGACTCTCTAGGGTTCACATCTCGTCATGACTCTCTAGGGTTCAGATGTCGTCATGACTGTCTAGGGTTCACATCCCGTCATGACTGTCTAGGGTTCACATCTCGTCATGACTCTCTAGGGTTCACATCTCGTCATAACATACTGTGCGAATATTTAATAATTATTACATTATAAAGAAGTCACTACAAAATGGCGCGAAAAATCGATCTTTGCTAACACGATTTGTTCTCCCTTATTGTTAAGGTCAAGATGACATTTTAATTATGGAATAGACAGAGCTAACATTAAAGTAATTAAACAAGAGGTTAAATTATAAAAACAGGTGATAATTTAAAATTTAATCAATTAATAATTATTACCTTGTAATGACGCTGAATTCCTTGAGTAAGAAAATCAAATCAAACACAAAGAAATTCTACGGGCGGCCAGTCTACATGTCTCGATGCCTTTTCAAAAGTACACACCGTGTAAAAGTGGCCAGCTGCTTCCATGTTGACCTGCATTTAATAGCTTACACGGACAATGAGTTCAACCGGAAGTCAGCCAAATCGCTCCGACGTGGTCGCCATGAATTCCCTAGCAATGGCGGTTGTTAGGCAAGCCGCGCAACAACCTACTTAAATGGATTAATTACAAGTTGTAAACACCCACAATGCACTATCTTAAACACATACACACAAACATACGTGCAATATTGTATTGTATTTTACTTTAATTTCTACTGTATTTTTACATCTAGTTGGACAAAATAACAACTAAAGTGCTGTAATAAATATAATATTTGTTGTAAATACATTTGCATATATCTGGTTATCACATACATTTGTTTTGTCTATATTCTGATGGGAATATTTTATAACTAATATAACGTGCCGTGGCCTAGTGTACAGAGCTAGATTGCTTACCCGAAAGTTTCGAGTTCGGATCCGGGTTCAAGTCAGTACAGTGTCTCTGAGTCAACCCAGCTCTAATGGATACCTAACTATCGTTAGGGAAAACAAAAGCAGCTAAGCATAGTGCTGACGCTGAGGTCTCTGAAACAGATAAACTCTACTTCATCTGCCCCATGTGTCTTGGGCACGAACGGGAAAAGATGATGATACGGATTAAAATGTGCAGTTTAAATATATTATAAACAATAACAATTAATTAGATATAGATCTAAAGTAAAAACGCAAGCAATGTTCACATTTTGAAACCGACGGTCTATGGCGCAAGTGAAATAGATCTGTATGTGGTGTTGAAAGTAGTGTTAGAATAGATTGGCTGGTGTTGGATTGGCTGGTGTTGGATTGGTTGGTGTTGGATTAGCTAGTGTTGGATTGGTTGGTGTTGGATTAGCTAGTGTTGGATTAGCTAGTGTTGGATTAGCTAGTGTTGGATTGGTTGGTGTTGGATTGGCTGGTGTTGGATTGGCTGGTGTTGGATTGGCTAGTGTTGGATTGGCTAGTGTTGGATTGGCTAGTGTTGGATTGGCTAGTGTTGGATTGGCTGGTGTTGGATTGGCTAGTGTTGGATTGGCTAGTGTTGGATTGGCTAGTGTTGGATTGGCTAGTGTTGGGTTGGCTGGGTGTTGGATTGGCTGGTGTTGGATTGGCTAGTGTTGGATTGGCTAGTGTTGGATTGGCTGGTGTTGGATTGGCTAGTGTTGGATTGGCTAGTGTTGACTTGAATCAACCAATCAGATGTGTGGACCGGTTAGCTGTTAATCTGTATCTGACGCTATTGATAAACTAATAACAATGGTATCGTTATCAAAGTGTTATCGTTTTCATTTCAAATAGGTGTTTGCATGAGTTTCTTGTTAGCTTAGCAGTTACTTTCAAATTTAATGTAAAATTTGTACACAATTAATTAAACATAAAATATAAATATTTAAGATCTAATAAATATTTAAAACGCCTTTATGTAACACACAAATTAACAAAGACAAATAAAAATTTAAAACTTATTTATATTCAAATATATAGATAAATAAATAAATAAATATACATGCCTACGTATTTATGAATTTATTGATATGGCCTATTAGGTGTGTTAATGAGCGCTTGTGTGAGTCTATTACATCAAGACATCACAAAATTCCAAGGGAGATAAAAATCAATCTAAAGCACAATTAGTTATTTACCGAGTTACCTATCATGTGTATTTCTCACCCCGTCAAAACGAAAGTGAAAGTAGTGTGGTCTCCTGGCCACTTTACAGCTCTAGCGCCATATCAAGGTCTGGGTAATACTTTTGATATACAACTGTATAATGCATTTGATATACACATGTAAAATACATTTGATATATATAGCTGTATTATGCATTTGATATACAACTGTAAAATACATTTGATAGGCCTACACATCTGTGTGATAAATCGGATATATTTGATATACATTTGATATACATTTATATAACTAGAACGATAGTTTACCGTGTCCCCACAAACATACAGTATAATACCACTTCCGGTTACCGGAAATGGTTCAAAAGCTAAAAATTCGTATATAATGTAATACTTAAAAATGTTGCCACTTAGCTTAAAAGGTACTTACGTTACTGGTTTTTGAGAAATCGCAAGTTGTGTAAGTACTACTTCCATTGACCGGAAATCGCTCAAAAGTTGATACACAACTACAAATGTAATACTTGTATATGAAATGTCAACATAGAAACTGTACCCAAGCTATCGTATTCACAGACACTCATAGTCATACACACAAACACAATGTACAACTAAGTATTTTTTTAGCGCAATTTCCATACTGCCAATTGCGATTAACTCGCCATTTCTGGATGTATGTATGGATGGATGTGTGTCCGCAGCTTTAAGTCGTATCTCCTCCTCAACGAAGCAATATCGAGGACTAGTTCCAAAAGCAAATATGTTAAGCAAGTTCCGAGGATGAACATAGGCTAAAAAAATTCCGGAATTCCTTCCTGGATTTCCCGGAAAAGCCAAAAAACCTCGAAAAAATGCATTTTTTGGCCCATATCTCGGCAACCAGACCACTTAGCGACTTGAAACATTTACCAATCGATTCCTGCCATAATTTAGAACAATATTGCCGAAGAAAGTTTTCAAAAATATCCTTTTTTTTTGGTCACAAAAAATTAATTAAGGAAATTGCGCTTAAATTGTCACTAGACTTTTTATTAACTTGTTTTTACAGAGGGAGTTGTAAACGTCGAGATTTGTAAATCTCGACGTCATTTGATGTGTTTGGTTCTGGCTTTTGGTGACGACGGGTAAAATTGGGGAGGGGAGGGGGGAGGGTACAAATGATAAAAAAACGACATGTGTGATACCGATGACCCCGGTGTAGGCCTTCACCCTGATTTGTTTACACGCTGACCTGCGTTTGTATTTAAAACACGGACACTGCCGTCTTCATTTGACGTTTTATAAGCAGTGTAAGTATCCCCCCACCCTCTCCCCTCCCTGTGGACTTCATAGATGGATGACCCCACAGAGACCCATAGACACAGAGACGGATGAAGCGTGGGTGGGGGCCCTGGTTGAACAGTCACAAGGGCCCTGCGGCTAGCATGTTACTTGAACAGTTGGAGCAGCTGGTCAGTTATTGGCAGTGGCGTCACAAGGTTGGGTGCGGCAACTCAGGGTGTCACCCCCCCCCCCCGCCTACTTGAACAAGTTGCATTTTTTTTACCCCTTTCACATACTCTTTTATTTTTTAACTGGATAAGCCATTGTTTTGAAGGTAAATGTTCACATTTTTCTGTTTGGTGTCACCCCCTAAAAAGCCCCTCCCCCCCCTGTCAGGGGCGGATTAAGCTTGGGCGGGGCCCCGGGCTGAAACTTTTTGGGGGCCCCTGATATATATATATATATATATATATATATATATATATATATATATATATATATATATATATATATATATATATATATATATATATATATATATATATATATATCCTAATCAGCATACTATTCAAAATATTAATAGATTATTTATAACTTATAGGAACATTCGACACCGATATTTACAAAACTGCTAATTTAAAAAAGCTGTCAACTGTGTTCAATGAGCGGTAAATTGGATACAAACATCTAACATTCTTCTTCTTCTTCTATTCTTCTTCGTTCTTAATTTTAGTGTTGGAAGGGATCCCCTCCAACACAATTAAGTGTAAGTGTCAACTGGTCATGCGCTATTGAGGCCATTGACTCCGATTTCAGCCGGCTTTTCTTTTTTAATTTGTTTCCATAGCCTTTGTCCAACCAAGAACAAACTACAGCAGATGTTTGATTTTGGAGTTGTCTCTCCTAGAAAAGCTGCTGTCTCCAGCTAACGAGCCATATCTGCCCGAGGGCTTGAACTCGAGACATTTCGGTTAAGCATCCACGAGCTTTACCGATTCAACCACGCTGATCCCCTAACATCAATATGTACTCATTTTTAGCATGATTATATGTTGCCCCCACCCACTGCCACGACACACACACACACTAACAAAATACAGAGAGCCTAGATCCATCCGCTAATTGAGCACTAATAAAAATATGGCTGTTTACTTTATGAATGTAGAAGTTTTAGACCTCTGACCATCGACCTAGCCGGGCACCAGACGGTAGGACGATGTCCCGCGTCTGTTGTTTGGGGAGGTAAAGCCTGGTGCAAGCCTACGGATGAATAAGCGACCAACATGTAGTGTTTCAAACCAGCATCTTCGTGAGACTGATTTAGTCCACAATTTCCCATTTAGTTGGAGTTCACTATGTCGAGGCCTGCCCGGCTAATGGGAGTCAAACTCCTGAGCCTGTATATCCGTGTCACGATAGTTATTGAACTGTTATTCAAGTATTTATATTGGGCGTGAGAAAGCTGGAAATGCAGACTAACATTGAATAAACATAAATATCCATGCGAATATTATAATGTCGTTATAGGGCAGACGATAAAGGCTGTTGGCGCGTGTTTGCTTGCAGACGCGAAGAGAAAAAAAGAGAATTTCAAACAACTCTATGTAGGAAATTATTAATAACATACAGAGGTTAAACTAGTAAACCTGACGGCCTATGGGGCAATTGAAGTAGAGTTCACTTGTTTCTGTGACCTCGGCATATGAAGAGATTGTGTGGTCAGCACTATGCCCAGCCGCCTCTACTTTCCCTAATGTGAGTTAGGTACCCATCAGAGTTGGGTGGACTCAGGGACGGTCTACGAGGTTAAACTAGGCCCAACTAAAACAGTAAGCACGGTATAAGCGTAAAAAAAACCACCTCCATCCCTTAGGTGTCATCAATTTATGAGGCCCACAATAAAATGGATTTCCACAGGCGTCCATTTAAAGAACGTCATCCCTGGCCTGTAAACCCGATATTAACGTTCACTAAAAGTAAAGGCCTATAAATGTTTTTAAAAGTTTAAAATCATAGAATGTTCACACCAGATTCATGTCATTTATGTGTCAGAATTCGACAGCTGTTTGTGTTTTTAACTCTAAAATTAACCCAATTTATTGTCATAAGCAAACGCTGTCCGGGCTGGTATTTATATTAAAGTGTGTGCTCGAGTTTGATATTTTGATTAAAAAAAGTGAAATAAACTTGTGATTCAATTATTAAAACATTGGCTTTTATAGTTAAAAAAATCACTTTAAAGGAAAATTTACTATGATTGAAAAAGGAAATTTGGGGGCCCCTAAAAATCGGGGGTCCCTGGCTGCAGCCCCCTCAGCACCCCCCTTAATCCGCCACTGCCCCCTGTGTACTGCGCTCCCTCCCCGCATTGTGACGCTACTGATTATTCAAAGGTGACAAGGTCACTGGGTATAACTTCATTCATAGAATAATAAAAACAATTCAAGTGTACACTGATGTTTATTCCATCTCCAACAGTCATACATCTTTACACGCAGATACTTTGTACAATCTGTCTCACGCAGATATTTGGCCCAGTCTGTCTAACGTAGCCCTATTCATTAAGAGTGTCTCTTATTCCATACCAGGAAATATCAAATCTGATTCGTGCAACTCTATTATAAGGTTACCCGGTACCTACACAGGACTATATGTATACATTTTTATATACTTCACATAGGATACGTGGCTATAAATACTGTTGGTAAAATAAAAGTTTTCAGAATTTAAATCACTTTAAACCATGAAGAAGAATTCAACTCCCGTCCTTTCAAAATGCGCTGGGATAAAATAAAACTCCTGTTACCAAATCATATCAGTGTAATGTTATTTTGGGATAAAATAAAACTCCTGTTGCTAAAATCATATCAGTCTAATGTTATTTTGGGATAAAATAAAACTCCTGTTACTAAATCATATCAGTCTAATGTTATTGTTGGATAAAATAAAACTCCTGTTACTAAATCATATCAGTGTAATGTTATTTTGGGATAAAATAAAACTCCTGTTGCTAAAATCATATCAGTCTAATGTTATTGTGGCAATCAACTGGCCAAATACGGAAGACTTTAGCTCAAGTCATACGGAATAATCGGTCTCTTTTGTCGACAGAAATACATCATGTGATTGTAGGTACGATCTGATATAGAACAACTCATTTGTCTCCAACATACACATATACACACCTTACACATAGGCAAATATAGACATGCATAGACATTCATAGACATACATAGACATACATAAAAAACATAGACACATATAGACATACATAGACATTGATAGACATACATAGACATACATAAAAAACATAGACACATATATAGACACATAGACACACATAGGCATAAGTTCTTTTAAGTCTAAAAATCCATGCAGCTCTTCAAGTCATGGGCCAATTAAACATCTAACACAAATTAATTATGGTAAATTAGATTCAAATTTAAAAACATTCGACACACGAACACAGTCTAAGATTTTTTATTTACTGATGTAAACGACAAAAACACTGTACTACATCAATTCAATAATATATAAAAATATGGCACGCCGGTGTTCCATACTTTCATCCGTCAGCAACTCCGGTGTTTGAACTAACGCACGAGCACTAGCGACGGCTGGGAGATAAAAATCTGGCGGCCAATCGTTTTCAAGTGTTTAATTTTGTCACGTTAAAAAAGTTTCCACGTGAAATATTTTACATATTTTTATATTTTCTCGAAGTGCGAAGCGAAGTATTTGAGATTTTGTGCTCAAGTCAAATATTTAGACCAAAACGTTTTCAAAAGCCAAACATTTTTTTAATTCACTAGATTGATCAGTAACCAAGTAATAAGCAACAGTGTAGTTATGTTTCTTGTATGGCTTTATGTTTGTTGCTAGTCGCGGAGTAGACCTAGATCTTATCGCCCCTGGGAATTCCATTAGTATTTCCAGTTAGCAGCTGCTACGTTAGACTGCGCAGTGCATAGCTCACGGTTGAGTGAACTCCGTGAGTAGATTGCCTTTAACACTCACTGGATGGAGTGGATTGATGGATTACCACGTTCTTGCTAATGTGTGAGTAGCTTGTTGTTGCAGTGTGGTAGCAGTGTTGACTAGGATCTGCTTGATGTTGTTGGTTGTGTCGTTACTGATGTTGTTGGCTGTGTCGTTACTGATGTTGTTGGTTGTGTCGTTACTGATGTTGTTGGTTGTGTCGTTACTGATGTTGTTGGTTGTGTCGTTACTGATGTTGTTGGCTGTGTCGTTACTGATGTTGTTGGTTGTGTCGTTACTGTTGTTGTTGGTTGTGTCGTTACTGATGTTGTTGGCTGTGTCGTTACTGATGTTGTTGGTTGTGTCGTTACTGATGTTGTTGGCTGTCGTTACTGATGTTGGTGATGCTGTGTCGTTACTGATGTTGTTGGCTGTGTCGTTACTGATGTTGTTGGCTGTGTCGTTACTGATGTTGTTGGCTGTCGTTGTTGTTGATGTTGTTGGTTGTGTTGTTAATGATGTTGTTGGCTGTCGTTACTGATGTTGGTGATGCTGTGTCGTTACTGATGTTGTTGGCTGTCGTTGCTGATGTTGTTGGCTGTGTCGTTAATGATGTTGTTGGTTGTCGTTACTGATGTTGTTGGCTGTGTTGTTAATGATGTTGTTGGTTGTCATTACTGATGTTGTTGGCTGTGTCGTTAATGATGTTGTTGGTTGTGTCGTTACTGATGTTGTTGGCTGTCGTTGCTGATGTTGTTAAATGTGTTGTTAATGATGTTGTTGGCTGTGTCGTTACCGATGTTGTTGGTTGTGTTGTTACTGATGTTGTTGGCTGTGTCGTTACTGATGTTGTTGGTTGTGTCGTTACTGATGTTGTTGGTTGTGTCGTTACTGATGTTGTTGGCTGTGTCGTTACTGATGTTGTTGGCTGTGTCGTTACTGATGTTGTTGGCTGTCGTTACTGATGTTGGTGATGCTGTGTCGTTACTGATGTTGTTGGCTGTGTCGTTACTGATGTTGTTGGCTGTCGTTGTTGTTGATGTTGTTGGTTGTGTTGTTAATGATGTTGTTGGCTGTCGTTACTGATGTTGGTGATGCTGTGTCGTTACTGATGTTGTTGGCTGTCGTTGCTGATGTTGTTGGCTGTGTCGTTAATGATGTTGTTGGTTGTCGTTACTGATGTTGTTGGCTGTGTTGTTAATGATGTTGTTGGTTGTCATTACTGATGTTGTTGGCTGTGTCGTTAATGATGTTGTTGGTTGTGTCGTTACTGATGTTGTTGGCTGTCGTTGCTGATGTTGTTGGATGTGTTGTTAATGATGTTGTTGGCTGTCGTTACTGATGTTGTTGGCTGTGTCGTTACTGATGTTGTTGGCTGTCGTTGTTGTTGATGTTGTTGGTTGTGTTGTTAATGATGTTGTTGGCTGTCGTTACTGATGTTGGTGATGCTGTGTCGTTACTGATGTTGTTGGCTGTCGTTGCTGATGTTGTTGGCTGTGTCGTTAATGATGTTGTTGGTTGTCGTTACTGATGTTGTTGGCTGTGTTGTTAATGATGTTGTTGGTTGTCATTACTGATGTTGTTGGTTGTCGTTACTGATGGTGTTGGCTGTGTCGTTACTGATGTTGGTGATGGTTTGATGTTCGTGATGTTCGCCATGATGTAACTAGAAGAAGGTTGATGCTAGTGTGATGTTGCTAAGATGTGTCCTCTCATTTTTGTGTGATGTGTGTGTGTGTGATGTTTGTGTGATGTTTATGTGATGTTTGATGTTTGTGTGCTGTTTGTGTGATGTTTGTGTGATGTTTATGTGATGTTTGTGTGATGTTTGTGTGATGTTTGTGTGATGTTTGGTGTTTGTGTGATGTTTGTGTGATGTTTGTGTGATGTTTATGTGATGTTTGTGTGATGTTTGTCTGATGTTTGTCTGATGTTTGTATGATGTTTGTGTGATGTTTGTGTGATGTTTATGTGATGTTTGATGTTTGTGTGATGTTTGTGTGCTGTTTGTGTGATGTTTGTGTGATGTTTATGTGATGTTTGTGTGATGTTTGTATGATGTTTGTGTGATGTTTGTGTGATGTTTGTGGTATGTTTGTGTGATGTTTATGTACTGTTTGTGTGATGTGTGTGTGATGTTTCTGTGATGTTTGTGTGATGTTTATGTGATGTTTGTGTGATGTTTGTGTGATGTTTGTGTGATGTTTGGTGTTTGTGTGATGTTTGTGTGATGTTTGTGTGATGTTTGTGTGATGTTTATGTGATGTTTGTGTGATGTTTGTGGTATGTTTGTGTGATGTTTATGTAATGTTTGTGTGATGTGTGTGTGATGTTTGTGTGATGTTTGTGTTATGTTTGTGGTATGTTTGTGTGATGTTTATGGAATGTTTGTGTGATGTTTATGTAATGTTTGTGTGATGTGTGTGTGATGTGTGTGGTATGTTTATGTGATGTGTGTGATGTTTGTGTAATGTTTGTGTGATGTTTGTGATGTGATGGGCTGAGTGTTTGACATGAAATGTTTTGACAAAGGCCCATGGAACGAGAATGTGCTGAGCCAGATGATGTTTGTCACAACAGGATCGGGGAACACAGAATGTGTTGTCATATGTTGGCATGTGTTGTCATGTGCTGTCATATGCTGTCAAAAGAATGTCATAATGGCTCCCCCGACCCTCACCACGGCAATGTTCGTATTGACTTACACCTCAAGAGATAAAATGTTCGCACTAACATACAGACAAACGCCTCAACTAGAACATTATGTTATTGATCTATATTAAACTAACATACTACGTTAATTTGTTAAAGATGTATATGCAACTAGAACATTATCTTCTAGATCTATATTAAACTAAAACTTCATGCTATATGTGTACATAGAACTAAAACTGTAAGACGCTAGAGAGAAAGACGTTGGTTTTTTTAGGTGAAAGGTGAATACAATTACCCGGAATTTGTGACCGCAAACAAGAGGGTGCCTCGCATTCCGACCGGCGCTAAAAACAACGCTTAAATTAGCGGCAATTTTTTGGGGGAAGGAAAAAACCTCACGGGAATATTTTCTTCGGCAGTGTGTGGTGAGGTAGCGACAACTACAATAACGTCTTACAGCTAGAGTCGACTAACGTCTTACAGCTAGAGACAACTAACGTCTTACAGCTAGAGACAACTAACGTCTTACAGCTAGAGTCGACTAGCGTCTTACAGCTAGACACAACTAACGTCTTACAGCTAGCGGTGTCAGATATTCTCTAGAAGTGTGGTGGGGGGCTAACGGGTCGGTAACTAGGTGACAGTGTCATGTTAGGGTTACGTTTGTGACAGTGTGACGTTACATTTGTGACAGCGTCACGTTAGGGTTACGTCTTGACAGTGTAGAGACCGACACAACATTACGGTGCGCCGAGTGCATCACTTGTAGCCAGTGCACTAGCCCTGCCCAGCCCACTAAGGAAATGGACTGTGTACTGGCATGAGGATGGAGCTTTGATGAAAACCTTGTCCAATTAAATGTCATTAAAAACTGCTTTACTCCCGACACTGCTTTATTCAAGCGCTAATTAACAAAGCTTAATTGCACCTCTTCAAGATAATTGAGTGGATTAGGGTCAATAGTAATACTAAACAAACATCCATTTTCATCCATAAAACAATACTTAGAAGCTGACTACGTAGAGGAGGGAGGGGGGGGGGACGAGAGATTTAAAAAAAATACATTATTTAGGACTTGTGACTCTCAGATGTCTCTGAGTTCACTCAGCTCTGATGGGTACCTGACTGACGTTGGGGAAGGTTGGCTGGGTATAATGCTGACCACACCATCCCTTCATGCCAAGGCGAAGAAACATATGAACTCTACTTCATCTGCCCGATGGATAGCTAGGTCTAGAGAGGAATGTTACTTATATTAATGGCAAATAAAGCATCTAACAAATTAGTTAGTAATGTTTTTTTGTGTTTGTATCGTTTATTGCTACCTGCATGTTGTGTAGTGGCGGGGCGGAGGGTGAAGATTAATTACTTTTATTAATTAATCTTGAGGGGTTGACCTACATTGTTAGATAGAGCGAGGGTTCAGCTTTACAAGTCCATCAACCGTGTAACAGACGCACGGGGCATCACATAAACATAGGGCATCACATAAACATAGGGCATCACATAAACATAGGGCATAACAAAAGATTAGGGCATAACAGAAACAGGGCTTAGCAGAAAGTTAGGGCATAAAAAACACAGGGTGTAACACAGCACCCTTTGGTTTCTGAGTCAGCACAACAACACACACACACACACATACTGCACCGACACACACACGAGAGAGACACCTACACACACATACTGCAGAGACACCCACACACACATGCTGTACCGACACCCACACACACTGCAGAGACACACACACCCACAGAAACACACTCACACACACACTGTAGTGTACACATTAGAAGGTAGAATGCACTCACACGCAGACACAGGAACGTGCACTTTTACGTCACATTCCTGCTCAACAACAACATGTGCATTTTTTGCCATTTCTTGCTCTTATCTGTTTTTACAAGGATTATAAAACAAATTTCGACCCACGCTTTTCTTTCCAGTTATTTAATTAGTGGATCGTTATTAAATACATCTTTTAAAAAATCAATATTTTCTACATTACCATGTGTAACAAGTTTAGATAACTGGTGAATGACGTGCCGGTGTTTTCATGTTTCAGTTGATTAAAGGATGGCCACACAGCGGAAGGGCTTCGGCTAGAACATCCAAGTGACCCACACATGACCCTCAGATGACTCTCAGATGACCCTCAGATGACCCTCAGATGACCCCCACATGACCCCTACATGACTCATCCCTAGGACGACCCTATGACCCCGAGCTGTGCGCGTGTGAGACTATGGGTCCCGCCACTACCCACAATGCAGCGCGACAAACTCCAGTTTGGGTTCTACGTACTGGCGGTACTCTCGGCCGCCATTGTCTTCCTGCTGGTGTACGGGTTTCCTGTGAGCCCCGCCCTACCCGGCTCTATCCCGGACTCGAACCCCCGACCTTGGAACGCCGGACGCCCGGGGCTGGTGGAGCGACTCATGACCTACCTGCAGCGTGAGGACAGCCCACAGGACGTCCTGAAGGACCAGCTCTCCAATGAAATTCCGGCCGGACCGGAAAGAAACAGCAGCGGCCGGCGTATACACGGCAGTGTGCCGGTTGCGTGCCGGACTAACGACGTCTCGGAAGTTCTAGCCATGGTAAGCGGACATTGGTGTCACGGTAAGCGGACATTGGTGTAAGACGGACATTGGTGTCACGGTAAGCGGACATTGGTGTAAGACGGACATTGGTGTCACGGTAAGCGGACATTGGTGTAAGACGGACATTGGTGTCACGGTAAGCGGACATTGGTGTCACGGTAAACGGACATTGGTGTAAGACGGACATTGGTGTAAGACGGACATTGGTGTAAGACGGACATTGGTGTAAGACGGACATTGGTGTAAGACGGACATTGGTGTCACGGTAAGCGGACATTCGTGTCACGGTAAGCGGACATTCGTGTTGCCATGAGTCCAATTATTTTCTAATTAGCTTCGTTACAGTCTTATTTTAGACCATCTAATGACGCACTTCCTGTTCCACCTGAACGACAAGACCCCTCCCACACCTGTAGTTTCACGTGCATGACTAGATACAAGGCCTAGCAGATGTCTTGAAACTCGTTAACTCGATATTTTAACAGCTTGCGGAAATCAACAAAAATCCATAATTAAATTAAATATTCATTATGAACCCAATCTACATTTTTCACGCTTCCTAACTCCGCAATCATTAGCATAATTATTTTCTCACTGACGAACTGAAAGAGTCCAAAACAAACTCCGAGGTTGAAAGAGTTCTGTTTTTAGGCCCGCCCCCAACGTGAGTTATGTACCCTGAAGTTGGAGACTATAAATAGCCGTAAGCTGGGCCTAGTTAGCTGACAATCAACAAACTTTATGCTCAACTACAACCACACGCGCGCTATACAGCTGCCTGCTGCTCACCTACCACGTGTTTCCTCTTTCAGCAGCCGATCAAGTTTCTGCCGGAGTACAAGAACCCGTGTTGGCGGGAAGAGGTGGTCCAGCCGGCAGACGACATGTACCACGGCAACCTGTTCGCCAACTACTCCTACAGATATGAGAAGATCTTTAGGACGTTCAGACAACAGTGGGCTAAACGACTTGACCGGTTCCGGCTGAGGTGTTTGCCGTATTTCTTCATTGCCGGCATGCCCAAGTGCGGCAGTACTGACCTGTATCACCGGCTGATTGCACACCCGGATGTAGCAGCGCCACCTGTCAAGGAATCCCATTGGTGGGGCAAAAATCGTTATGGTGAGTGGGTGAAGGGATGTATGCACACATCAGGATGTGGAGACATCATAGGATGTACATACATCAGGATGTGGAGACATCATAGGATGTACATACATCATAGGGCAGGGATCGAGGTAACTGTAAAGAACTTCGGCTGTTGCCGCCTTGTAAAACCACTGTGTGGATGTGTGGATGTGAGGATGTGAGGATGTGAGGATGTGTGGATGTGTGGATGTGAGGATGTATGGATGTGAGGATGTGTGGATGTGTGGATGTGAGGATGTGTGGATGTGTGGATGTATGGATGTGCCACAGGGAGTCAGCGATGGCAAAGACGATGTGGCGAGGCCTTGGAAGGGGGGAGGAAGGGCAGAACAAACACGTTATTCGCTAGAGAAACAACGTCACGGTCATAGACAAAATGTAACTTTTCAGTGACCTTATCAGGGTCATAGACAAAAATTAAAATGTTTAGCGACCTTATCGGGGTCACGATAACCTCCCAGCAGAAGGTCGCACATGAGCAGCTCACGTGATAAGCTGAGATTAACCGCTCACCTAATCCAGCATGTTGGCCAGGTTGTGTGTGATGGATGGGTCAAGTTGTGTGTGATGGATGGGTCAAGTTGTGTGTGATGGATGGGTTCATAAAACGTGCACTAAACCAAGCACACAAAAAAACAACAAACGTTCAGACTGCTTAACATTTTTCGACTGTTTCTATGTCCTGTTTGATGTCCTGTTTGATGTCCTGTTTGATGTCCTGTTTGATGTCCTGTTTGATGTCCTGTTTGATGTCCTGTTTGATGTCCTGTTTGATGTCATGTTTGATGTCCTGTTTGATGTCCTGTTTGATGAGATGTCCTGTTCGATGAGATGTCCTGTTTGATGAGATGTCCTGTTTGATGTCCTGTTTGATGTCCTGTTTGATGTCCTGCTTGATGTGCTGTTTGTCCTCCCCAGGCTGGTGCTTGAACTACACGTCACACATTCCATTCTCTGACTACGTCGATCTGTTCGATGGGGCAGCCATGCAGATAGCAGACTCAAATCCCGAAGGTCATGACCTCAACACATTCCACACAAAAATTACCGGTTAGTAACAGCTGCTGCTTAAGTCACCTGTCTGTCTGTGTCCACCTGTCTGTCTGTGTCCACCTGTCTGTCTGTGTCCACCTGTCTGTGTCCACCTGTCTGTGTCCACCTGTCTGTCTGTGTCCACCTGTCTGTCTGTGTCCACCTGTCTGTGTCCACCTGTCTGTGTCCACCTGTCTGTGTCCACCTGTCTGTCTGTGTCCACCTGTCTGTCTGTGTCCACCTGTCTGTCTGTGTCCACCTGTCTGTCTGTGTCCACCTGTCTGTCTGTGTCCACCTGTCTGTGTCCACCTGTCTGTGTCCACCTGTCTGTGTCCACCTGTCTGTCTGTGTCCACCTGTCTGTCTGTGTCCACCTGTCTGTCTGTGTCCACCTGTCTGTCTGTGTCCACCTGTCTATGTCCACCTGTCTATGTCCACCTGTCTGTGTCCACCTGTCTGTGTCCACCTGTCTGTGTCCACCTGTCTGTGTCCACCTGTCTGTGTCCACCTGTCTGTCTGTGTCCACCTGTCTGTCTGTGTCCACCTGTCTGTCTGTGTCCACCTGTCTGTCTGTGTCCACCTGTCTGTGTCCACCTGTCTGTCTGTGTCCACATGTCTGTGTCCACCTGTCTGTGACCACCTGTCTGTGTCCACCTGTCTGTCTGTGTCCACCTGTCTGTCTGTGTCCACCTGTCTGTCTGTGTCCACCTGTCTGTCTGTGTCCACCTGTCTGTGTCCACCTGTCTGTCTGTGTCCACCTGTCTGTCTGTGTCCACCTGTCTGTCTGTGTCCACCTGTCTGTCTGTGTCCACCTGTCTGTCTGTGTCCACCTGTCTGTGTCCACATGTCTGTGTCCACCTGTCTGTGTCCACCTGTCTGTGTCCACCTGTCTGTGTCCACCTGTCTGTGTCCACCTGTCTGTGTCCACCTGTCTGTGTCCACCTGTCTGTGTCCACCTGTCTGTCTGTGTCCACCTGTCTGTCTGTGTCCACCTGTCTGTCTGTGTCCACCTGTCTGTGTCCACCTGTCTGTGTCCACCTGTCTGTGTCCACCTGTCTGTCTGTGTCCACCTGTCTGTCTGTGTCCACCTGTCTGTCTGTGTCCACCTGTCTGTCTGTGTCCACCTGTCTGTCTGTGTCCACCTGTCTGTCAGTGTCCACCTGTCTGTGTCCACATGTCTGTGTCCACCTGTCTTTGTCCACCTGTCTGTGTCCACCTGTCTGTCTGTGTCCACCTGTCTGTCTGTGTCCACCTGTCTGTGTCCACCTGTCTGTGTCCACCTGTCTGTGTCCACCTGTCTGTGTCCACCTGTCTGTCTGTGTCCACCTGTCTATGTTGACCCATGTGTTACGCCCCCCCCTGCCGCCCCCAGGTGACGCCAGTGTCTCTACCCTGTGGGCCAACGAGGACTGGTGGAAGAACCCCGAGAACTGCGGGCTGCTGGAGCCCCGCTTCACCAACGCCCACTACCTGCATCACGTGATACCCCAGGCTCGGGTCATTGTCCTGCTGAGAAACCCTACGGACAGGTCAGTTCTCCCGGCCATTGGCCAACCACAAGGATGGCCACAATTGTAAGGTTAGATGGCCAGATGTTTAAGGTTAGATGGCCAAATGTGTAAGGTTAGATGGCAAAATGTGTTAGGTTAGATGGCCAAATGTGTTAGGTAAGATGGCCAAATGTGTAAGGTTAGATGGCCAGATGTGTTAGGTTAGATGGCCAAATGTGTTAGGTAAGATGGCCAAATGTGTAAGGCTAGATGGCCAGATGTGTAAGGTTAGATGGCCAACCGCTGGGCTGGTTTTGTTACGGGTAGTTTTGTTGTTGGTAGTTTTGTTGTTGGCAGTTTTGTTACGGGTAGTTTGTTGTTGGTAGTTTTGTTGTTGGTAGTTTTGTTATTGGTAGTTTTGTTGTTGGTAGTTTTGTTGTTGGTAGTTTTGTTACAGATAGTTTTGTTGTTGATAGTTTTGTTGTTGGTAGTTTTGTTATTGGTAGTTTTGTTGTTGATAGTTTTGATGTTGGTAGTTTTGTTACGGGTAGTTTTGTTGTTGGTAGTTTTGTTGGTGGTAGTTTTGTTACGGGTAGTTTTGTTACGGGTAGTTTTGTTGTTGGTAGTTTTGTTACGGGTATTTTTGTTACGGGTAGTTTTGTTGTTGGTAGTTTTGTTACGGGTAGTTTTGTTTGTTGGTAGTTTTGTTACGGGTATTTATGTTACGGGTAGTTTTGTTGTTGGTAGTTTTGTTGTTGGTAGTTTAGTTGTCGGTAGTTTTGTTGTTGGTAGTTTTGTTACGGGTATTTTTGTTACGGGAAGTTTTGTTTGTTGGTAGTTTTGTTACGGGTATTTTTGTTACGGGTAGTTTTGTTACGGGTATTTTTGTAACGGGTAGTTTTGTTACGGGTATTTTTGTTACGGGTAGTTTTGTTTGTTGGTAGTTTTGTTACGGGTATTTTTGTTACGGGTATTTTTGTTACGGGTAGTTTTGTTACGGGTATTTTTGTTACGGGTAGTTTTGTTACGGGTATTTTTGTTACGGGTATTTTTGTTACGGGTAGTTTTGTTACGGGTAGTTTTGTTTGTTGGTAGTTTTGTTACAGGTAGTTTTATCCTGTTCCCAGGCTGTATTCTGACTTCCTGTTTTGTCCTGTTCCCAGGCTGTATTCTGACTTCCTGTTTTTCCTGTCTGCAGGCTGTATTCTGACTTCCTGTTTTATCCTGTTCCCAGGCTGTATTCTGACTTCCTGTTTTATCCTGTTCCCAGGCTGTATTCTGACTTCCTGTTTTTCCACCAACTGGAGAAATCTCCCCAAGATTTCCACCGGGACGTCGAGTCGAGCATCCATCAGCTGACACAGTGCATGCAGGAGATGGGGGTTCGAAACTGTATCTACAACTCGTCGCTCTCATCTAACTCTAGGGTAACCCCGCACACACTGTCCCACACAACTCTAGGGTAACCCTCACACACTGTCCCACACAACTCTAGGGTAACCACTCACACATTGTCCCACACACTGTCCACACACAACTCTAGGGTAACCCCTCACACATTGACCCACACAACTCTAGGGTAACCCTCACACATTGACCCACACAACTCTAGGGTAACCACTCACACGTTGACCCACACAACTGTAGGGTAACCCTCACACACTGTCCCACACACTGTCCACACACAACTCTAGGATAACCACTCACACGTTGACCCACACAACTGTAGGGTAACCCCTCACACACTGTCCCACACACTGTCCACACACAACTCTAGGGTAACCACTCACACATTGACCCACACATCTGTAGGGTAACCCCTCACACATTGTCCCACACAACTATAGGGTAACCCTCACACACTGTCCCACACAACTCAAGGGTAACCCTCACACATTGTCCCACACAACTCTAGGGTAACCCTCACACACTGTCCCACACAACTCTAGGGTAACCCTCACACACTGTCCCACACAACTCTAGGGTAACCCTCACACACTGTCCCACACAACTCTAGGGTAACCCTCACACACTGTCCCACACAACTCTAGGGTAACCCTCACACACTGTCCCACACAACTCAAGGGTAACCCTCACACACTGTCCCACACATCTCTAGGGTAACCACTCACACATTGTCCCACACAACTCTAGGGTAACCCTCACACACTGTCCCACACAACTCTAGGGTAACCCTCACACACTGTCCCACACAACTCTAGGGTAACCCTCACACACTGTCCCACACAACTCAAGGGTAAACACTCACACACTGTCCCACACAACCCTAGGGTAACCCTCACACATTGTCCCACACAACTCAAGGGTAACCCCTCACACACTGTCCCACACAACTCTAGGGTAACCCTCACACACTGTCCCACACATCTCTAGGGTAACCACTCACACATTGTCCCACACAACTCTAGGGTAACCCTCACACACTGTCCCACACAACTCTAGGGTAACCCTCACACACTGTCCCACACAACTCTAGGGTAACCCTCACACACTGTCCCACACAACTCTAGGGTAACCCTCACACACTGTCCCACACAACCCTAGGGTAACCCTCACACATTGTCCCACACAACTCAAGGGTAACCCTCACACATTGTCCCACACAACTCAAGGGTAACCCTCACACACTGTCCCACACAACTCTAACCACTCACACACTGTCCCACACAACCCTAGGGTAACCCTCACACATTGTCCCACACAACTCTAACCACTCACACACTGTCCCACACAACTCTAACCACTCACACACTGTCCCACACAACCCTAGGGTAACCCTCACACACTGTCCCACACAACTCTAGGGTAACCCTCACACATTGTCCCACACAACTCTAACCACTCACACACTGTCCCACACAACCCTAGGGTAACCCTCACACATTGTCCCACACAACTCTAACCACTCACACACTGTCCCACACAACTCTAACCACTCACACACTGTCCCACACAACTCTAGGGTAACCCTCACACATTGTCCCACACAACTCTAACCACTCACACACTGTCCCACACAACTCTAACCCCTCACACACTGTCCCACACACTGTCCACACACAACTCTAGGGTAACCACTCACACATTGACCCACACATCTGTAGGGTAACCCCTCACACACTGTCCCACACAACTCTAGGGTAACCACTCATACACTGTCACACACAACTCAAGGGTAACCCTCACACATTGTCCCACACAACTATAGGGTAACCCTCACACACTGTCCCACACAACTCAAGGGTAACCACTCACACACTGTCCCACACAACTCTAGGGTAACCCCTCACACACTGTCCCACACAACTCTAGGGTAACCACTCATACACTGTCACACACAACTCAAGGGTAACCCTCACACATTGTCCCACACAACTATAGGGTAACCCTCACACACTGTCTCACACAACTCAAGGGTAACCCTCACACACTGTCCCACACACTGTCTCACACAACTCAAGGGTAACCACTCACACATTGTCCCACACAACTCTAGGGTAACCCTCACACACTGTCCCACACAACTCTAGGGTAACCCCTCACACACTGTCCCACACAACTCTAGGGTAACCCTCACACACTGTCCCACACAACTCTAGGGTAACCACTCACACACTGTCCCACACAACTCTAGGGTAACCCTCACACACTGTCCCACACAACTCTAGGGTAACCCCTCACACACTGTCCCACACAACTCTAGGGTAACCCCTCACACACTGTCCCACACAACTCTAGGGTAACCCTCACACACTGTCCCACACAACTCTAGGGTAACCCCTCACACACTGTCCCACACAACTCTAGGGTAACCCCTCACACACTGTCCCACACAACTCTAACCACTCACACACTGTCCCACACAACCCTAGGGTAACCCTCACACATTGTCCCACACAACTCTAACCACTCACACACTGTCCCACACAACTCTAGGGTAACCCTCACACATTGTCCCACACAACTCTAACCACTCACACACTGTCCCACACAACTCTAGGGTAAACACTCACACACTGTCCCACACAACTCAAGGGTAAACACTCACACACTGTCCCACACAACGCTAGGGTAACCACTCACACATTGACCCTCACTACTCACCAGCAGATACATCCCATCGTCTCAATTCTGTGAAAACATTTTGTTCTGATGTGCGACTTGTATACACTTTAATCGCTGGCATTAGTGCGTCATTAGAGCGTCAGTAGAGAGTCATTAGTATATCACTAGAGCGTCATTTGTACATCAGAGGAGATTTATTTGACAGCCAGTAGTGACTCTAATGACAGGAAGTGATGAGGGGTGGGGCAGATGGATGGGGGGGGGGGGGTGGGAAACAGAGCTGGGAAATATCCTTCAATATTCAACTTCCGAGTTATACCTCCGAAACACGAGTCAAAATATTCTTGTGTATGTGGTCTTAACATACGTGTTTCATGGCTCCCTGAGTTAACATACGGGGAATATGGCTTCCTGTCTTAACATACGGGAAATGTGGCTCCCTGCCCAAACAGCCTCCCCGCACTTCATAACATGTCAACATTTTTAAGTACGCCTCCACTAATCATCCCTGTTCAACGCTTTGAAAAAAAAATGGGACGTTATGTGTACACTTTAGCAGCCGTCAGATCTAAGACAGCTGTTCATACCTTGCTGTTTGAACTACTCGTCTAAGTTTTAGGCTAAATTGTCCATATGTTAGGCCAACTTGTCCACAATTTAGGCCAACCTGTCCACATTTTAGGCCAACCATATTTTAAGTCAACAATATTTTAGGACAACACGTGTAAATGTTTATACTCCAAATAAATCATTCTCTAATTCCCCCCTACCCAAGACGATACCCAGGGAAAAAGATGAAAGAAAAAAAAACATTTATTTATCAGAACATCTCTTGAAATGACAAGCGTTCGGCAACAGAAAAAAAAAATTAGCGTGAAAAAACTTTTGCTTCTAGATTTTTCTAGATTAAAAAAAAAGATTCCTGGGTAATTATCTTCTGCTATAAAAAAAATGTGAGCTGGTTAACTCTTTACTGGCAGCGTGTATGGAGGTGAGCAATTGGTACCGGACGTCGTGAGGATTGGTGCTTGTTGCTTAGCAACGTGCACTGGTGAGGTTAAGGTTAGGGATGGGGTTAGTGATGGGGATGGGGTTAGGGCTAGGGATGGGTTGGGGATACGGATGGGGTTAGGGATTGGATTAGGGATGGGGTTAGGGCTAGGGATGGGGTTAGTGATGGGGATGGGGTTAGGGCTAGGGATGGGTTGGGGATACGGATGGGGTTAGGGATAGGGATTGGATTAGGGATGGGGTTAGGGCTAGGGATGGGTTGGGGATGGGATTAGGGATGGGTTGGGGATGGGATTAGGGCTAGGGATGGGGATTAGAACTAGAGAATTCAGTGTTTCTTCCAGACTTTTTTCTTCGGGGGGGGGGGGGAGGCGGTCAACATTTTCTGGGGGGCGGTAAACATTTTCCGGGGGGGGGGGGGCGGACTCTGGTAAAAGTATATATTTTCTATACTAAGTATATATTTTCCATTTCGTTCGAGGGGGGGGTCGCTAGACGAAGAGATGCCTGGAAGAAACTCTGCTAGTGATGGGGTTAGGGATGGGGATGGGGATTAAGACTAGGGATGGGATTAGGGATGGGGTAAAATGACAGGCGACCGGTGCAGTGTGTGAACGTGAGTACTTCAAACATTTCCCCTCGGTCAGCGTGACCTTAGGCAATTAGAGAAGAAATTTTCCTGAGCTGACGAAAATTAAAATTCTTGTAAACATTTCACGTGTTCGAGGGAGAAAATTTTGGTTGTCATGGTTACAGCATACCGTTCCAAGCACCCAGTATTTGCCTGAATTTCCACATAAGGACACCTACCATTTGACTAGACCACCACACCACCTACCATTTGACTAGACCACCACCTACCATTTGTCTAGACCACCACACCACCTACCATTTGACTAGACCACCACACCACCTACCATTTGACTAGACCACCACCTACCATTTGACTAGACCACCACACCACCTACCATTTGACTAGACCACCACCTACCATTTGACTAGACCACCACCTACCATTTGACTAGACCACCACCTACCATTTGACTAGACCAGCACACCACCTACCATTTGACTAGACCACCACCTACCATTTGACTAGACCACCACCTACCATTTGACTAGACCACCACACCACCTACCATTTGACTAGACCACCACACCACCTACCATTTGACTAGACCACCACCTACCATTTGACTAGACCACCACACCACCTACCATTTGACTAGACCACCACACCACCTACCATTTGACTAGACCACCACACCACCTACCATTTGACTAGACCACCACCTACCATTTGACTAGACCACCACACCACCTACCATTT